AAACAGTGGTAGTTTTGGATTTTTTTCGAAAATTCTTAGCTCCAACCTGGGTTGGACGGAGAAATTCTAACCAAGCCACATGTCGGATTCTTATTAGCGAGTTTAACTTTATTTTATATATTTTAATTATTGATTTATTTAGCATTTGAGAACATTAAATATTAAGAATAAAGAAAGGCGAGTCCACAAATAACAACCCAACCCGACTCTTCATCCAATCAAGGTTGGAGCTAAGAATTTTCCGAAAAGAGAAGGCTGAGGTGGAAAATCCAGGGAGAGAAATCAGGTCACGGAGGTCACGGGTTGAGAAGAGTCTGGTTGATTAGGGTAAATATTCACTGATTAGACTATTATGTTTGTCACGTCAGCACATAATGGACTTAGTTAATGAGGTTGGACAAAAACTAACAGCGAGTAACCAAACGTGAAAACCCAGCAACGAAACTTGCAATTTACTTCATGAAATTATGAACATAGATACAGTATCTCTGATGATACCCACAAACTCTTGATTTTACACTTTAAATAGTTCCAAACATTCCCAAGTTTTTTTTAAACCAAACATTCCCAAGTTGTAGATAAAACAAAACTGAAAAACCCATATATAGTGAAAAAACACGAAAATACAAAACAAAAAAGGAAGAAAGCTCCTTCAAAGCTCAAACCTTGCACAATACCTCCTTACTGAATTCTTCTTCTGCTCTCTCTAACCATAATTTCGTCGATAAACCAATAAATTGATTAGCCCTAACCTCAAGTTCCTTCTCACATAAACATCAAAGAGGGTAAAAAAAGGTAACAGAGTAAACTTTCGGGCCAAGAAACATGTAATGTACAAAATTTACTTCAAATGTTGATGCTGAACTCTTTCACCTATAGTAGTAACCCCTTGTTTTCATCCTAAGCAGCAATTCCTGAAACACCATCAAAACCCGAAACACCTTGTTTTCTCTCATGGCAGAAAAAGGACTTCTTTGTAATTTTTTCCAAATTCGAATACAATAATGCAAGAGAAAAACTTTATAAGCAGAAATATAAATTTACCATCTAAATTTTTATTCTTGATTGTTAAAAAAAAGGTTAAGTACCAATAAAAAAAGGTTAAGAACCAATAAATTTGTATTCTTAAAATCTGAAATACCTCAAAATTAGAAATGAATAAGCAAACAATGAATTTGAACTGTATGTGTTTCAAAATAGATTTTAAACACATGTCTGTCAAATATTTTTTTTCAAACACGCTCTTATTAAACATTTCGGGGACTGTGACAACGAATCTCTTATCGTGCTCTGTCGCCAAATTCCAGGATCGGATAAAATTACCCGAGCATAATCCATCTTCGCTCGAAACAAGACGTTGACTTCAGAGCTCAAGCGAAAGAGGGTCTTCTGGATTCCATTATCAAACAACATGCCAGGAAAGAAGTGAGAGAGACGCCATTGTTCTCTAGAGAGAGTCTGGTTGTAGGGGGAAGAAGAAGAAGTACTCATCAGTTTTGCAACACTGTCGAAGAGAGAAAACGGGAAAATGAAACAATGAGGGAGAGTCATTTTTTAGTGGACATTAACAAACCAATGACTGCATGGGAAAAAGAAATTTTTGTCTCTCTCTAAACTTTAAAAACGCTATCTCTTCTCTCTAAACTTTCAGTTCTTGAATGAGTTGTGGGCTGTCGTCGACGCCTCTAAGCTGCTAGCGGTAGCCCCGTCCTTTTTTCTCTGTTGCTTTGCTTTATTTCTGCTTTCCTCTATTTTCAGTGCTTCAAGTTCGGAGCTTTTCTCACGTCTTCTTTGAAGTTAGGTGCTTCTTCTTGCTCCTAATGCCTAATCTTTCCATATCTGAACATTGAGATGTTTTGGTGGTAGAAGAGGGGATTGAGATTTCCTCAATCTACCTTCTCCTTCAAGTCTCTGTTCCTCCTCCTTGCTTCATCGCTTCAGCTAGGTGTTTCGGAGAAGACTTGGGAATCCTATTGTGATCTTCCCGTGGTTTCAGCTTCTTGGAGTTCGAAGGTGGAGGTCAGGCTTCATGGATCTCGGTGGTTTTTCCTTGGCAATTTTACCGGATCTTCAGCGTGCTTTTGTCGTTTGGGGGTGGCGGTTGCAAGCTTTCTTCCATGGTTGCTTGTTGTTCGGCGGTCTCTGGTCATCGAATTCCCCCTTCGTCGGGCTCTGCATGTGATTCTTGTGGAGGAGTAATGACTTGTTGTGTATTGATTAGGAGTGTGGGTTTTATACCCAAGATTACAAGGAGAACCCTAGCAGCACGTTACATAATGGAAGTAGGGCTGTGGGAATATGGCCAAACAATAGGAACAAACTAACAGAAAAACAATTAAGTAATTATATATTCCTATCACGCCCCCGCAAGATGGAGGAGGAAACGACGCCAATCTTGGCACGGAGAAGTTGGAAACGTGTGATGGGCAGGGGCTTGGTGAGGGAGTCGGCGAGCTGGTGCACAGTGGGTATGTGACGAACATGAAGAGCGGCAGAGTGAACTAGCTCACGAACAAAATGAAAATCAAGTGCCAAATGCTTCATGCAGGAGTGGAAGACCGGGTTGGTGGAGAAATGAACGGCGCCGAGATTATCACTGTGAAGAACTGGAGGTTGGGGCAGCGGCTGATGAAGCTCAGTGAGCAAGTTTTGAACCCAGAGCAGCTCCGCGGTGGCATGGGCTACGGCACGGTATTCAGCCTCAGTGCTGGAACGAGCGACAGAGCATTGCTTCTTGGATTTCCAGGAGATGAGATTACCAACATAATAAATAAGATATCCCATGGTAGAGGTACGATCATCCGGGTCGCCCGCCCAATCAGAATCGGCCAAGGCAACCAGTGACGGAGAAACAGTAGGTGTCAGTCGAAGACCAAAGGAGGCAGTACCTTTGAGATAGCGAAGTAGACGCTTCATGGATTGCCAATGTAGCTGGGTGGGTGCATGCATAAATTGCGAGAGTTTGTTGACGGCAAACGCGATGTCAGGCCGAGTGCAGAGGAGATATTGGAGTGAGCCAATCACTTGTTTGAAAAGAGTAGGATCAGCTGGAGGAGAGCCGTCATTAAGAGTGAGGCGAGCTGTCGAACTTAGCGGCGTGGGCGCAGGGCTGTTGTCTGCCATACCAAAGCGATCGAGGATGTCGAGAATAAACTTGTGCTGTGAGAGAAGAAGACCAGCCGGGGACGGAAGTACTTGAATTCCCAGGAAGTAATGGACGTCCCCAAGGCTCTTGATAGAAAACCAATTGGCCAAACGGGTCTGGAACTGTTGTAGAAGAGCTGTGTTGTTACCCGTAAGAAGAAGGTCATCAACATAGACCAGGAAGTATAACAGACAACCATTCTTGTGGTAGACAAATAAGGAGGCGTCACTGGTGGTTTTGGTGAAGCCTTCATGTCCAAGAAAAGTGCACAGCTCCATGTACCAGGACCGGGGAGCCTGGCGTAGGCCGTAAATCGGCCGAGAGAGACGACGCACATGATCGGGGTGAGCAGGGTCGTGGAAGCCAGGAGGCTGAGCCATGTAAATAGTTTCCTGCAAAGAGCCTTGGAGAAAGGCGTTATTCACATCAAATTGATAAACCGGCTAGTTATGGGTCAAGGCAATGCTGAAGACAGTCTGTATCATAACCGGCTTCAGAACCGGACTGTATGTCTCATGATAGTCGATGCCCGTCCATTGAGTAAAGCCTTTGGCCACAAGGTGGGCTTTGAAACGATCGACCAAACCGTCCGGGTTGCGCTTGATGCGGAAGACCCATCGACAACCCACAACGTGCTGGTCGAGGGGACGGGGCACCAACGTCCAGGAATTATTGCGAAGCAGTGCCCAGAACTCTTCAAGCATAGCGGCGGTCCAATGAGAATCAGCCATGGCCTGCTTAACAGAAGGAGGTTCAAAGTCAATATATGATACCTGAGCCGAGAAGAGCTTCTTCGGCTTGAAAATCCCACGCTGACTGCGAGTGGACATAGGATGAGATCGCGGAGGCACAACCTTAGCCGGTGGGGGTGGTGGATCATTCTGCTGGGAGGACGTAGCCACTGGGGAAGTTGGGGCACCGACGAAGGAGGTGAGACGCGGAGGAGAAGCCGTGGTGGAAGGAGAGGCAGTGGGAATGGGGGGAGCAAGGAGTTGAGGGAATGGAGAGGCCAGGAAAGGAGTCTTCAAGAAACCGAACATGGCGAGAAATAAAGATCCGTTGACTGGCAGGATCGTAGCACTTATAAGCACTCTGAGTGAGAGAGTAACCGAGGAAGATACAAGAACGGGAACGAGGTGCCGATTTGTGAGGAGAGTATGGCCGAAGCCAGGGGAAGCAAAGGCAGCCGAAGGAGCGGAGTTTGAGATAGTTGGGTGATTCGTTGAATAGTGAGAAATATGGCGTGGCACCACGAAGAGAGGAGGATGGTATGCAATTTATAAGATAGGTAGCTGTTTGAAAAGCGTGAGACCAGAAGGAGAGAGGAAGGCAGGCCGAATGAAGGAAGGAGAGGCCAGTCTCCACGACATGGCGATGCTTTCTCTCGGCGAGGCATTGTGCTTCGCAAACCTCCTGGCTGTCTCTGCACCCCTACCTCCTTTATCACTGAGCGATCATTTAGGGGCCTTAGCTGGTGATCCGGGCTGTTTCCCTCTCGACGATGAAGCTTATCCCCCATCGTCTCAGTGGCTGACCTTGACCCCTGTTCCCGGGCTTTGACGTAAGGCTTGTAGACCGAGCCTCATATCCCTATTGATTCAGTTAAATAGGAATTGCTAGTTGTACCTCGTGAAAACAAACTTCTTTCTTTTTATCTTTTGTGGAATTAATCATTCTTTTTATTTGATATTTTCGTTAGTTTGGTTTTTGCGCTTATTTATCTTCTATGGTAATTTTATACTTCGAGTAAAAAAGCTATTGATACATTCTATGCTAGTTAAATCTGACAACGGTCCTATAATCACACTGCTCCAAAAAAAATCGGGAGATAGATCTTCCAAAGAACAGGGCTTTTTTCGAATAAGCCAATTCATTTGGGATCCTGCAGATCCACTCTTTTTCCTATTCAAAGATCAGCCCTTTGTCTCTGTGTTTTCACATCGAGAATTCTTTGCAGATGAAGAGATGTCAAAGGGGCTTCTTACTTCCCAAACAGACCCTCCTACATCTATATATAAAACTATTCGATCACCACGGGGGGGGGGGGGGGGGGGGGGGGGGGGGGGGGGAGCAAGTCAGACTAGAAAACTCACATTGGGAGTGTGAGGCGGGGTAAGAAGGTGAGTAATGCCCAGTGGTTTGGAAATCATCGTAGTGAATGTTGTAAAAACATGACAAACATCAGATTTACGGGATAAATGATAGAGCCATGTATAGCGAGTAAAATGATCCACAATGACCAAGTAATAAGATTAAGAATCAAGAGAAAGCACAGGGGAAGGGCCCCAAACATCCATAAACAGCAAATCGAACGGACGAGTACTAGTCAAACTCGAAATAGAAAAGGGAAGTTTGTGACTCTTATGCAATGAACATGACTCTCAAGAGGAACAAGAGGAGGCAGAGGCAGGGAGAGACTGATTACGGAGTAAACGGGATAGCAGCTTGGTGTTGGGATGGCCCAGGCGATGATGCCAAGTGGAGAAAGAGGTGGGTGTGGCGGTCAAGGCTAGACGAACAGGAGACTGGGAATCCACTGGCAACTCATACACGTCATCATTATTCAGGCCGCATAGTAGAGGCGCCCCCGTGGCTAGGTCCTTCACAATAAAACAATCAGAGAAGAATTCCACCGAAACCGAGTTAGATTTGCACAATTGCGCAACCGACAACAAGCGGCGTTTAATGGCCGGAACACACAGTATATTGGAAAGAGCCAAGGACGAGGAAGAAGTAGGGAGGCGAGATTGCCCAATGTGGGTAATTTTCAGACCTGATCCGTCGCCTACAATAACCTCTTCGGGGCCGTGGTAGTCTGTGTAGAGAGAGAGACCACCGAGATCAGGGGTTACGTGATTGGTGGCGGCGGAGTCAAGAAGCCATAAGGAGGAGGAGGAGGAACCGGCAGTCACGGTATGGTGGGATTGAGGACGACCATGGAGCCGGTAGCACTCTTTGGCGGTGTGACCTGGCTTGTCGCAAAATTGGCACTGGATGTGAGGGAGGCTGGGAAGAGACGGTGCTGAGGAAGGCGCTGGATTGGGAAACCCACGGGAAGGTGAATGACCACGATACGCAGAGTCGGGGTAGGAGGAAGGTTGCATCTGGCGAGAGCGGCGAGGACTACTAGGATTGCCGCGGCCATGAGACGTCTGGGAAGAACGACCACGAAAGGAGGAGAAAACAGTGGTAGGAGCCAGTGCAAAAGAGGATCGATGCGCCTCAAAATCGGCTTCAAAATCAACCAGGCGATCGTGCATATCTTTGAGAGAAATGGTGGTGTCACAGGCGCGAAGAGCAGCAGAAAGAGGACCATATTCCTCACGAAGACCACGAAGAATATGAAGAATCGTATCTTCATTCGACACAGGTGCTTGAACAAGGGCAAGTTCAGCCGCCATGGTGCGCATAGACTGCAGATAGACGGCGACAGGGCGAGAGCCTTGGGTTTCGCGGCTGAGCTTGGTTTTCAGATTCATGATCCGTTGCCGAGACTGACTGGCGAACATACGCTCCAAGATCAGCCACGCATCACGGGAAGACGCAGCAGACGTGACGTAGGGAGCAACGCTGGGTGTAAACGAAGCCAGAATATAGTGGAGGAGAAGTTGATCTTGACGGAACCAGTGAATACGGACGGCCGCCTCAGCATCGGGGGCAGGTGGAGGATGGGAGCCGTCAAGATATTTGAGCAAGTCGAGCCCCTGGAGAAGAGTCACGAGTTGGGCACGCCAGGTAGGGAAGTTGTCGCCATTGAGTTTGTTGGGGAATTGAGTGGCGGGATTGAGAGTGATGATGATATTGGAATTGTCAAGGTTAATAACTGACCCACCATCATTTTGAGACATGGCGGCCGAGAGAGAAGAATAAGAGGTTCAGCAAGAGAGAATGGGATTAAGGAGATCAGAGCGCAGCTCTGATACCATATGGAGGAGTAATGACTTGTTGTATATTGATTAGGAGTGTGGGTTTTATACCCAAGATTACAAGGCGAACCCTAATAGCACGTTACATAATGGAAGTAGTGTTGTGGGAATATGGCTAAACAATAGGAACAAACTAACAGAAAAACAATTAAGTAATTATATATTCCTATCATTTTTGGTGTGATAGGTGGCGGCTGCTGTTCCATGTGGGATCAATTGGGGCTAGGGTTTTCAGGCCATATGTTGGGCATTGGCTGTTTTTTGTCTTGTTTTTCACATGCCATCAGTTGGGTCTTGGTCTTTTGATTGCTGCTTGGGCCTTCCATGTTTCTTGTATCTCCCATACGGGTTTCGGCCCATAATCTGCTAACCCTCTGGGTTCATATTAATGAATAGCCAATGACTTAAAAAAAAAAAAGAGGGAGAGTCATTTAAATGGAAGGATAAACAATTGGTGGTCACGGTGCAAATCCCAAAATGTTTAAAAGTTAACTTATATTAGCACAACAGTTATTTGGAAGGGAATGTTGGAAATAATCACTGTACTTCCTGAAGTTTGATTGAAAAATTACATTATTGTCGGTAAAAAAATCAATAAGTACAAATAAAATTGAGTATAAAAATGAGTGCTGACAAAATTAGAGACAATCAATTTAATTTAATCCCATGTCAACAAAAACATAATTTCTTTGGCATCAACAAAAGATAAAAATATGTCTGTTGAAATATCCATCACTTGATCTCCATCGTCTACCATTATTTTGCTATTTATAGCTCTCTTTATGATCTTCATATCTTTGAGTTGATGGTGCCAACAATTACATATGATTCCACAATGATTTTTATCATATTCTCTCTCCATAAATTGTTTGCATATATACTGTCAACAAATAGAGCAAAAGCAACTATGTTATTCCGTCAATAAAGCTCGTATGACAAAACTACTAGAAGAAGATTAATGCTTCATAGAATAACTATAAGAAAATTTATGAAAGATAGTTATGTTTTTTTAGTAGAATTTGGACTAATAGGTATGTTTCCTATCTGATGCTTAAGGAGTAAGGGCTCGGGCAGGAAAGAGTTGAGAGTTCGAGTCCAACGAGTAAAAAATAAAGGCTTTTTTGTTGTTGCGCGAACAGTTAAAGATCATACGTACCTTGACAGTTAACAATAAGCCTTCATTTGATAAAGAGGATAGACCGATTTGATTGAAACTTAAATAATTAGGATGAAAATTCTGGAATAACCCGTCAAGAAAAACATCCTTGTTGAATGATCCACAGAAATTACGTGAAATCTTCACATGTTTAATTCTTGGAATAGGAAGCTTCTCCTGAACTTTTTTCCAATGGCACTGCAAATAGTACCAATATACAATACAACAAATAAACAAAACATAAAATAAGAAATCGATTGACAATAATACAATTTTTTTATGGATGCTGTCAGTTTGGTACAAATAGGCGTTTACTGTTTACATGTTTGTAAGCCACGCCAAGATGAATATATTCCAATAAGAGAAGGAAAATGACGTATTGTAGTACATGTATGCAAAAAATATATGTGAATGTACCTTGTAATATGATAAATAGTCGAATTCGAGAATGACCAGCCTTTCCAAAGCTCCTATATTGTGCATCAAGAGATGGACCAGCCTGTTTGCGATAGTCAGTGACCTCGCCTAAGATTTTAATAAAGAAATCAATCCTTCCCAAATATATGAAATGACATAGCTTCGGAGCATTCATTTCAATTACTTGCAATTCATACCAAGAAGACAGATGGAATTTCCAAGGCTTGTCATGGTTGATAATCTTCAGTTTTTGTACTAAATTAAGACCATCCAGAGTAAGTGACCCCAAAGATGGAGACTTCGACATCAGCTCATCAAACTTCTGCTCCGTCAATTTGTATACATCTGAAAATGAAACAAAAAAAAAGGTGAGATTTTGTGAAGAAAAAGGATGAAACTGATAAAACCCAACAGTTTGAAAATCTGAATTTCATACCATGAATTTCTAGCACTTTGAGATTTGGCATCGAAGACACCACAAAATCACCTCCCAAAGGTGCATAACTGATGTACAAGTTTTTCAGAGACGGGACTCCTGTAATCTCTAAATCCTCCACTGGGAGTTGGTCAAACCACAAGTACTTCAGATTGGGAAGATTCCGAACCTGAAGCCTCCGAATCCCCACAATAGTGAACAGAAGCAAGTCCCGTAAGCAAGAGGCACCGGCTCACAATAGATAAAGCTCCCCGAGGGAGCTGCCAAGGCTCACAAAAGGGTTGCTTTGAACACTGTTCATGTCGATATTGATATCCTTGAACTGATCAAAATTGTAGTTGATCAAATGGAGAACTCTGAGGCGAAATTGGTGCTTGAGTTTTGGTAGCAATAGGCCCCGTGGGATGCTGTATCTATTGGAAAAGAGGATTTGTTGTTGAGGAAAATCAGAATGCAATCCAACGTGATTTGCTTCTATTTATTGAGTTATGTTTTATACAGCTTTACAGGAGATACAGTTGAGAGAAAGAAGGGAAGTGGAGAAAGTACAAGAGAAGTGGAGAAGTTACAGGGAGAGAGAGGGCCGAGTAATTAGGGGAAAAATAAAAAGAATGGTTATTCTTTTTCTCTAATACGCCCCCGCAAGATGGAGGAGGTGTCAACGACTCCAATCTTGGACCGAAGTAGCAGGAACCGAGAGGCGGCTAGGGGCTTGGTCAGCATGTCGGCCAATTGTTGAGCGGTCGGTATATAGCGGACACTGAGACGGCCTGACTGAACGAGCTGGCGAACAAAATGATAATCAAGAGCCAAATGCTTCATGCGAGAGTGGAAGACCGGATTGGCACTGAAATGCGTGGCACCAAGATTATCTGAGAGGACAGTGGGAGACTCGGTGAGGGGTTGATGAAGCTCTTGTAAGAGATTGCGAACCCATTCCAGCTCAGCAGTCGCATGGGCGATGGCACGATATTCTGCTTCCGTACTGCTGCGGGCAACCGTCCGTTGTTTTTGAGAATGCCAGGAGATGAGTGTGGAGCCCAGGTATACCAGATAGGCGGATGTGGATGTGCGATCATCAATGTTCCCGGCCCAGTCAGAGTCGGCAAAGGCTGTGATGCGCATAGGAAGAGATGAGCGCCGGATGGCTAAGCCATAGGAGAGAGTACCACAAACATAGCGAAGTAGCCGTTTGAGGCACTGCCAATGATGAGAGGATGGAGAGTGCATGTACTGGGAGAGCTTGTTGATGGAGAAGGCAATGTCAGGACGGGTGTAGACGAGGTACTGCAGAGCACCCAGTACTTGCCGGAACCGCGTAGCATCAGTCGGACAGGTGCCGTCATGAAGAGTCAAGGAGACAGAGGACGCAAGGGGCGTGGAGACCGGAGCAGCGTCTAACATATGAAATCGGGCAAGAATGTCGGTCATATATTTGTGCTGAGAGAGAATATAGCCCGTCGCTGTTGGTATAACCTCTATTCCCAGAAAGTAATTCACATCTCCCAGTGCCTTGAGGGAAAACTTGTGGGCAAGAGCTGTCTGGAAGGCTGTCAGAGCAGCAACATCATTGCCAGTGAGCAATAAATCGTCAACATAGACCAGAAAATAGAGGATAATGCCCGATTGCTGATAGACGAAGAGGGATGCATCAGATTCAGTCTTCCGGAAACCAAACTCAATGAGGAAAGAACTGAGAGCAGTGTAGCAGGCCCGTGGAGCTTGACGTAAGCCATAGATAGCACGACGAAGGCGGCAAACATGGTGTGGATGTAATGGATCAACAAAGCCCGGAGGTTGGACCATGTAGACCTCATCATCTAGAGGGCCTTGAAGGAAAGCATTGTTGACGTCAAACTGTTTAATGGGCCAACTCTGAGAGAGAGCAATGGTGAAAACCGTGCGGACTGTCACAGGTTTGACGACCGGACTGTATGTATCCTGAAAATCCACCCCGGGGCGTTGATGAAATCCTTTCGCAACAAGGCGACATTTGAAGAGATTGATCGAGCCATCAGAATGATGCTTAATCCGGTAGACCCATTTGTTACCCAGAACGTTGAAGTGAGGTTGGCGAGGAACAAGATCCCATGTGTGATTGCGAAGAAGAGCATTGTGCTCAGTGCGAAGAGCGGAGTCCCATTCAGCATACTGCATGGCTTCATTGACTGAACGAGGCTCAAGAGGTGGCGCCCAGGTTGTAAATAAAGCTGAAAAGAGCCGCTTGGGCTTGTGAATGCCAGATTGGGCCCGAGTGCGCATCGGATGGGAGCGCTGGACAGGCGGCGGGGCAGTGGGCCGCTGGGTTGTGGGCTCGGGTGAGGTTGGGGCCTGGATCTGGGCCGGCTGGTTATTGGCAGCAGGGGCTAGCACGTCCGAAGTAGAGAGCGGGGAGTTGTGGGGCGATGGGCCCGAGAAAGAGGAGGGCATGGGCCCAGAGCGGGAGGACGGGCCAGGCAGGGCGCTGGTGGCTGGCAATGGGCCAGAGGAAGAGGGGGGCGGGGCCCAGGGCAGGAGGATGGGCCAGCGGGCTGGGGCGGCCCAGTTGGTGATGTTGAGTGCAAAGGGCCTGCGCCAGAGGAGGCCCGTACCGGAGGAGCAGTCGGGGATGTCACATGAAATGGAATGGTGGTAATGGTGGGGCCGGTGTCTGTGATCCATGAGGCCACGAGGGAAGACTCTGCAGGAGGGTTAGATAAATAGCCAGGAAACGAAGTTTCAACAAAGTGAACATGACGGGATAGGAAAACACGATGGGAGTGGGGATCGAAACATTTGTACGCACTCATTTGCGGACAGTAACCAAGGAACAGGCATGGACGGGAGCGAGGATCAAGTTTATGGGACGAGTATGGGCGTAACCAGGGGTAGCACAGACAGCCAAATATGCGAAGTTTATGATAATTGGGCATAATGTTGAAGAGAGCAGTATAAGGGATTTGTCCATGCAGAGCAGAGGAAGGCAAACGATTGATTAAGTAAACGGCAGTAGAGAAAGCATAAGACCAAAAGATGGTAGCTAAATGAGCATAATGTAGGAGAGTGATACCAGTTTCAATGATATGACGGTGTTTTCGTTCGGCCAGGCCGTTATGCTCAGGTGTATGGGGAGGAGTAAGGAGATGACTGATCCCAGAGCAAGAAGCATGGAACTTAACTTCTGGAATTCTCCTCCACCATCGGAATATAGACGACGAATGGTGGTGGAAAAATAATTATCAACCATCGTGCGAAAGGCAAGAAACACATCAAGAACATCAGACTTACGTTTTAAAGGATAATACCATGTATAGAGGGAAAATGATCAATGATAATCAAGTAATAACGAAAATCATCAATGGAGGTCACCGGAGCAGGCCCCCAAACATCCGTATACAATAAATCAAATGGTCTATTGCTTGATAAAGAGGAGACACCAAAAGGGAGTTTGTGACTCTTATTTGAAAGACATGAATCACAATGACTACTGACAGAAGAGGAAGCTACTGGCAAGGAATGTGTGCGAAGAAGACTGGATAGAGAATGGGAGGAAGGGTGACCAAGACGAGCATGCCATGAGGTAGAGGAGGTGCGGGTGGTGACAAGAGCAAGGCGGACTGTATCCATTTCATGCGGCAGCTCATAGACATCCCCATTATTTGCTCCTTTCAGCAGAGGCGCCCCCGTGCGAAGATCCTTCACAACAAAACAATCAGCAAAAAATTCCACCGAAATGGGATTAGTACGACAAAATTTTGAGACAGAGATAAGTTTACGCTTGATTGCAGGGGCACAAAGCACATCTTTTAAATGTAAAACAGAATTCTGCAGCATGGATGACCCAATATGTGTGATTTTCAAACCTGTCCCATCACCGACGAGAATCTCATCAGGACCATTGTAGTCTGAATAAAGAGACAAATTTCCGAGATCTAGGGTCACATGGTGAGAAGCTGCAGAATCGAGCAACCAAGGCGCAGATGGCGGGGCACGAGTGGTGGTATGATGTGCCTGAGTTTGTCGAGCTTGATAGGCTTGGCATTCTTGCGGAAATAGCTTGAAACACTGACGTACAGAATGACCTGGACGTTCGCAAAATTGACATATGACAGTGGGTCGGCGCTGATTGTGGCTGGTGGGCGAGGCCTGCCCAGGAGAGGAAAATAGGTTGGCCTGCGGGCTGGAGGCCCGTGGAGAATCAATTTGGGCCTGAGGAGAATAAGCCCGCGAAGAGGAGGGCCCGCGTGGAGAGCCCCGCTGCTGGCGGCCGAAAGAAGGGTTCCCAGTGCCCCCGCCGCCGCCTGAAAATCGCTGCCCCTGAGAAAAGAAAGCAGTAGGAACAGGGGATTTAATTTGTTCCTTAAGATCAGATTCGTATTCGACTAGGGAGTCAATCAAGTCTTCCAGAACGAGCCCTGGTCCTCTAGCACGAATCGCAGCAGCAAATGCCCCATATTCTTCGCCCAGGCCTCGAAGGCAGTAGACGATCAAATCAAGATCGGAGACAGGAGCTCCAATGAGAGCAAGCTCTGCCGCCGTGCTTTTCAAATGAGAGACGAAGGCCAGGATGTCTCGATTTCCCTAGGAGGTTTTGGCCAGCTTCCCCTTGAGATGAATAATGCAGGACTGACCACTGCTGGCGTAAAGCTTCTCCAGAATCAGCCAGGAAGCGCGGGATGTAGAAGCGCCCGAAACAAAAGAATAGATCCCTTCCGAGATCGAGCATCGCAGAGCATGAAGTATCAGCTTGTCTTGGCGGAACCAAAGCTGAAAAGCTGGGTTGGGTTTGGCCACGCCGTTCTCTGTTATTGTGCGATCAGGTGCGATGGTGGAGTCGTCGATGTAGCCAAAGAGATCCAGACCGAGGAGCAGCGTTTCAAGCTGGGAGCGCTAAGAGGCGAAGTTAGACGGAGTCAGCTTTAATGGAAGTTGAGCAGCAGGATTGAATGTCACAATGGCTGGAACAATGGAAGAGACGGCGCTGTCGTGAACTTCGGATTCGCCAGACATGGTTTCGGCAGAGAAAGAAGAGAAAAAAAAAACAGAGTGTTTTACACAGGAAAGGAAACGCAAGTGGGAGAAAGAGAATTGGATCGACTAGCTGATCGTTGCTAGCTCTGATACCATGTTGGAAAAGAGGATTTGTTGTTGAGGAAAATCAGAATGCAATCCAACGTGATTTGCTTCTGTTTATTGAGTTCTGTTTTATACAGCTTTACAGGAGATACAGTTGAGAGAAAGAAGGGAAGTGGAGAAAGTACAGGAGAAGTTGAAAAGTTACAGGGAGAGAGAGGGTCGAGTAATTAGGGGAAAAATAAAAAGAATGGTTATTCTTTTTCTCTAATAGTATCTTCCCCTAGCTTCGAAATTGAAGAATCTGTCCATATTTTTGTCAACGTCTGCTGTAATATCAATCTTTTGGGGTGGGGGAGATCTGTTTGCAACCAACTCCAACATGTCATCGAGTAAAGCAGAGCAGATTTCTACGGGCCACTCCTTTCGACTATTGAACTTGATTCGGACGGCTTCCATGGAGATCAGGGTATCGCCGCTTCTACGACTGAACTTTTCCTTGGCGGCGACAACGAATCCCTTCACCGATTGCGTCGATTCAATCTGGGTATCGCGGAATTCAAGGATTGGGTATGATCGCCAGAGCTTAAACCATCTTGAGGACAGTATGCTGGCCTTTGCAGCTTCCTTTGGGGATTCTAGGAGAGCGAGGATCTCATGGATGACCTCGCCGGGTAAGTGCGAGATCCGGTCTGCTTCTTCTTCGCCGTCGTCGGCTGCCGTCCGGATTTGGGTTGTTTCTCCAGAGCCATTGGTCTCCGGGCGGCGACGTTTGCAATCTGAAGACATGGTTTCGGAATGGATGGAAAAACAGGGGAGAACAGAGGGTTTTCGATTCATCATTACCTTTCACAGTTTCACCAGGATTTAGTTTACGCAAGATTTCAGACTTGGTAGCAAAAGGGGTTTTTTTTTTTTTAACTAACTTATAACCCGGCCCGCTGGCCGGAATGTTCATATTTGATTATTTGTATTTTTATGTTACATTTAAGTCTATCAACCCGTTTAATTTTATTGATAATTCTTCGATCTAGATGATATATAAAGAAAGAATATATAGGTCGAACTTTTGGAGAAATAAGAATATAAAATATAAAAATGATTGATCTCATTTTTATAATGATAATTAAGCCTCAATTAAAATGCTATTGGTTAGTTGATTGTCAAGAAAGATAGAGTACAAAAGCTCATTGGAATTCCCACACGCCATAGATAGTTTGAAACACAATTTTAAACCTCACAATCCTACATAAAGGGTTCAATGCACTCCTTAGGAACAATATGCCACTAATCAAAAAGAAATGGAGAGTTGTTGATTCAAGTCAACTATATACTAACAACTCAATTAAGAGGGGACCAATAAAACTTGAGAGCAAACGGCAAAATTAGGGTTACCTCCAATATGCTAATAAACTCGATCGAAGTAATAAGACACAAAATTATACACTCCGTATCTATCAGTTCCAATAGGTTGAATAAAGAATCGACCTAGCTGCAAAAACCATAAACCTAAAGGTCCAATAGTCACCACTCTCTGCTGTAGAACCAAATTTTTATCTCAAGAGACATATGTTTCAATAAAAAATTCAATCTCTAATCCTCCTTCTACAACTTCATTTATTGAACTCCATTCTATTTGTCATGGATTGATATCGGAGTTGAAATCTTCTACTTGCCTAGCTTAAATCCCGAATAATAAAATCGTAGTGTCAAGAGATACCAAAAGATTGATTTCAAAGGCGGCCTTGTATTGAAAAGTGAAAGGGGCGTAAACTATTGCAAGATAGAGGGAATTTCGGAGGAAGTTAAAAGAGATAAGAACAAAGATAAAAAAAAAGCACTAAATTTAAATTGAAAATTTCAAGGATACAACACGCAGTAACATAATTAGTTTCTTCTATGGTAGCCAATTATCAATCTACCTTTAGCAAAAAAAATTAAGGCGAGAGCAAAAAATTTAAAATTGAGAAAATTACATGAAACTCTAGCTACTATGAAAACTGAAGTATCAAGCACCATAAAAATATATACGGTAGACTTAGTGGGCTTGGTAATCATGATGGAAAATTCATCCAATTTTCGGAGTCTAACTTTGTGTATGCTTTGTACTAAAAAAGATACAACAAATTTGTTTAGTGTAATTGGTTGTGATTGTTGTCTTTGTTTTAAGAGACTCGGGTTCGAATCCTCATATTGATATTTTTATTGAGATAAATATTTAATTGTAAAGACAAAAATGTCCTTCCTACTTTCACTCTCGTTGCAGGAAATTTGAAATGGAGAAAAGTTCACAAAACTCTACCATATATTATTGGAGGATATTTCTGATTGTTTGGTTCTTGAAGAAAATTAATGCTAGGTTTTTTTTAATATTTCTGATTGTTCGGTAGGGGTGGTGATATTGTATCAAATTAATATTTGGATGGAGAATTAGGTATCATTTTATTCTTTTAATTTTATATGTTTTCTTAAAATTAAAAGAAAAGATGGATCAAATGAAATTTGATAAGATGGATAAAGTTGGATTCGTGGGTGAAAGTGATGTTTGTTCCTCGACGTCACAATCTGCTGGCCGATTGGGTTGTTCGTAATGCTAGATTAGATGCTCTCCTGCGAGATGGGATCGTTATTGCCAATCTCTTGTCACCATTATTGTAATCAGCTGTACTTTCATGTTTTAATTTGAAATAAAATTGCCCCTATTTGTCAAAAGAAAAAAGGATCAAATAAAATTTTGATCCAAGTCCAATTCTCGAATTTTATCTATGTTTTATTCAAAAAAGGTAATTCCGACTAATTCTGAATTAGTCTGAACAAAACTAACTTACCCTTACTAGGCTATCGACCACGCTTACTTCAATCTTCTCATGGGCTTCTCTTTTATCTTCTAAATTTCTAGAAGTACAAAAAAAATTAAGAACTTCACAGGTAGGTTCTAAGTCTACTATGACCAGTTATATCACATTTATTGTTTGCAGATGACAATATCTTCTTCACTAGAGCAAGTTCAACAGAATGTGAGCAGCTGAGGGACATTCTCAAGTTGTATGAGAAGGAATCGGGTCAATAAGTTAATTTGCAGAAATCAGACCTTACGTTTAGTCCAAACGTGAGGGCTGATCATCGAGCAAGGTTGGTGGGGATACTTGGGATGAAGGAAGTTGAAGAGCACACAAAGTATCTAGGACTGCCTACTATTATAGGCAGAGAAAAAAGTATGTGTTTGGGGTCCTCATGGACAAGGTAAGGAAAAAAATCAAGCTATGGAAAGGCCAAAGCCTCTCGAATGCAGCGAAGGAGATACTAATAAAGGCGGTTTCTCTAGCCCAAGCAACCTATACCATGTCAGTATTTCTTGTTCATGATGTGGTTCTAGATGAAATAAGGAGTGCAACCATAAATTTTTTGTGGGGACAGAAAAAGAAAGAGAAACGGATACCATGGAAAGCTTGGCAGAAACTGTGTGAGCATAAGGAAGTAGGAGGATTGGGATTTAGGGATTTGAAGGCTTTTAACCTTGCCCTACTAGGGAAACAGATCTGGAACCTTATACAAAATCCAGATTCCCTAGTAGCCAGAGTCTTAAAGGCTAAGTATTACCCTAATACCGACATTCTACATGCCAGAATCGGATATAGCCCAAGCTATGTGTGGAGAAGCCTAATGGCAGCTCAAGAGTTGGTGTGAAATGGAGTTCGATGGAGAATAGGCAATGGGACTCAAGTAGAGTTGTGGGGAGATAGGTGGATTACTAATGCTGCGGGGGATGGTTTTTTGGTTACCTCCCTTGTGTCTAATCTGGGTTTACTAGCCAAGGTATCATCTCTGATCGATCACACAACTACAACATCGAAGATGAATGTGATCCAACAACATTTTAACCCAACAGACAGGGCTAGAATCTTGACGATACTGTTGCCTAGAACCCCTCAATCGGATATGCAGGTGTGGTGCTTCGAAAAAAAGGGGTGGTTACATGGCAAAATCAGGCTATTGAGCATGGAAGCAGAAGATGAAGGAGGAGAAAATGGATCCTGATCAAGGGGAAATCTATGATCCGGTAGAATGGAAAAGGATTTGGAAGATCCATGTGCCACCTAAGGTACAAATGTTCTTATGGCGCTTTCTACAAAACATTCTGCCTACGGTGGAAAATATTGAATCCAGAAAGAAGGAACTGGTGGTGGAGTGCCCCTTCTGTAACCTAGGGGAAACCCAAGAACATATTTTCAGGGAGTGCGCATGGGTGAGACGCATTTGGTCTCCTACAGAATTCAGGGAGTACTTCGATCGAGGGACAGTTTTTATCCTGCACTACTTGGTTCTGCGAACTATTAGATGAAATAGAAGAGGAGAAGCTGGCAAAACTATCAATGATCCTATGGAACATTTGGAACGAGAGGAACAACCACCTTTTCAACAAGAAAAAGGCAGAGGAATGAGAGATAGTGGGTCGGGCGCTTTCCTACTATGAGGAATTCCTATCAGTTCGACAGAAGGAGGAAGGCATGAGCGAAATCGTACATGGATCGTGGAAGAAACCGCCGGCGCGATGGTTGAAGATAAATGTTGACGCAACCATTTTCCCAGGTGAGGGCACAGGGGCGGGACTTGTGGTAAGGGACTAGAGTGGAGCTTGCCTACTAATGGCGGTCCGACGAGATCGACGCCAGTGGATTCCGGAGATTGTTGAGCTTAAAGTGATTGCATTCTCTCTAGAGGTGGTGAAAATGAAGGGTTTCCAGGCGGTGGAGATAGAATCAGATTGCCTGGAAGTTATCTCTAAGCTGAGGCGGGACACGTCAGCACTAACGGATGAGGGTGGCTTGTGCGATGAGATATGAGCCCAAGCTTTGGAGTTGGGCCAGATACAATGGAGCTTTGTGAAAATGAGGCGGCCCACATTGTGGTCCACACTCTATGTGATTGGGATGATCAGGAATTGTGGGAGGACAGGCCACCATTTTTCATTTTATCACATCAGGGGTTTTATAATATATAAAAAAGTCTATCTATTAAAAAAAAGGGTAGTTTCTAAGTGAAGGTGTTAGACTCACTTAAACGAGATTCTAAATTCATATTCATTGTTTCATCGATTTGAAAATAAAACTCTTTCATCACTAGGAAAAAAATATAAATATTAAAAAAGGAAACACATTTATAAGTGGTGTTACTTTGTTCTCTTAATATTTATGTATAGAATGTAACTTTGATTTGTATACTTATATTATGTGGTTTGTATAGTTTTTCTTAATGAATGGGCGAGCTCTATGTGGCCAAGATTCTGGACAATAGGCTTAGTGTTGTTTTATCTTTAGTAATTAGTCATAATCAAACAACTTTTTTTAAAGGGAGAGTTATAGGAGAGAATATTTTTTTAGCTCATGAACTGGTGCAAAAATATAATAGATCAAACATTTGTCCTAGAAGTATTGTTCACTGGATTGGCAGTTTTTCATTACTGTGCTACATGCCATGGAGTTTTCTAGTTGTTTTGTGGACTGGATTGCAATGTGTGTGACTACACCTCAGTTGAGTGTTGGTTTTAATGGAGGAATTGTGGGTTACTTTCCTGCTAGGAAAGGTTTGAGGCAGGGAGATCCTTTATCTCCATACTTGTTTACTCTTGCTATGGAGATTCTAACTTGTTTAATGAGCAAAGTTATCAGGGAGGTGCAAATGTTGTTCCATCTAATGTGTAAGAGGCTAGGGCTTACTCACCTTGTGTTTGCAGATGTTCTATAATTATTTTCTGATGGTTCTAATCATGGTATTCACTGCATTCAAAATGTCCTGGGTACTTTTAGAAAGTTTTCTGGGCTTAAATCTAATACAGAGAAATGTGAGTTGTTTTGCGGGGTCTTTCTTTGGAGTGGCAAGAGCAAATGGCACTACGTGCAGGGTATAAATTGGGAACTCTTCCCATTAGCTTTGATCTCAGGAAATCTCTCCATAAAAGCTTGCAAGACTCTGTTAGATAAATTCACTAATAGGATTAGCTGAAAACGAAGTTTTTAAGCTATGCAGGGAGGCTTCAGTTGGTTATCTCTGTTCTGGCCAATTAGACTCAGTTCTGGATGGTTGTGTTTGTCCTCCCTAAAGCAGTTATAAAAAGAAGTTGTACGATTATGTAGTGACTTCCTACGGGGGGTTGGTTCAGATGGAAAGAAAAGGGCTCCTGATGTGTGGCATTTTCTTACTTTTCCCAAACAGGAAGGAGGTCTTGGAATTAGAGATCTTGTTAGCTGAAATTTCTCATGTGTTCTAAGACATATCTAGTTAATTCTTTTGCAACAAGGTTCTTTATGGGTGGCTTGGTTATGGGAGTATAGCTTAAGAACCAGGATTTTTGGACTTTCTCATCTAACACTGGTTCTTGGATCTGGCAGAAGTTGCTCAAGAGTAGGGTGAAAATTCAACACAAAATATGTTTGTTGAATGGTAAAGTCTTCTGGAATTGTAAGGTAATTGAGAGATTTAGTATTAAAATTGTTTGGGAAGACTTCAGACCAAAGGAACTCCTTGTCCCCTGGAATTCTCTTGTTTGGAAGAGGCCTTCTATTCCAAGGAATTAGGTTGGCAATGGGTCTGGTTGGGTCGGGTTTTGCCAAATCCCAACCCAACCCACTGGGTATCCACGGGTTCATGGGTACCCATGGGTTTTTGTCGTAAAAAAATTTACAATAACATTTTCTATCAAAATAAAAGTCAAATATCAATCTCTCAATACAAATTATCCATATATAAAAAACACCATTCTAGAAAATTCAACCAAATCACAAATTAACCATACAAATTGTTCAAAACCAATCTAGAAAACTCAAGAAAATTGAAGCAAATCACAAATTATCCATAAACAACATGATTAATTGAAATTTATTTCCTCCTTGTCAATTAAGCTTCTTCACTCTCTACTCGTTAATATCAACTTCATTCTACACAATTAGAAAGAAAAAATTAGACATGTCTCCACAAACATAAAGAAGATTAGTTGTTTATAATATTAAATATACCGGGAAAATTAATTATATGGGTGTGGGCGGGTACCCATGGGGTGGATTTACCTAAACCCAACCCCAACCCCGTGAATAGTAAAAGGGTTTAAACCCAAACCCGGCCCAAAATTGGGTCGGGTGGGTACCCGTGGGTTCGGGTTTTGTTGTCATCCCTACAAGGAATCAGTTCCTTGTGTGGCTTGTGGTCAAGAACTTTGTTATGACTTGTGACAAGATGACTGGCTAGGGAGGTGCAAGCCCTTTCTCTTGTGTTTTTTGTTCGTGTGTATTGGAAATTAGAGACCACCTGTTTGCAGAACGTCCTCTAGCTAAGAGTTTGTTTGTAAGACTGTTGGGTCCTATTTTCCATCGTCATCCATTTGATACTTGGACTGAAGAACTGAAGTGGGCAATTGACATTCTCAACGGGAAAACTGTGACTAAGCAAGTAGCTCGAGTGATTTAGAGAGCCATGATCAGCTCAATATGGAGAGAAGATGTATCAGCGGCTAATGGTTAGTGGTACTTTGGGTATGGCTATGGTGGATAAACATGAGAAATATTTGGGTCTTCCGATGTTGGTAGGATGGTCAAAGAGAGAAGTATTTCAGGGCATAACTGATCGTGTGAGGAAGAAACTGAAAAGTTGGAAGGAAAGGGTGCTTTCGGTTGCAGGGAGAGAAGTTCTTATAAAATCGGTGGCACGGGCTCAATTCACCTATGCTATGTCAGTTTTCCGGGTCCCCACCACTGTTCTAGAAGAAGTATAGGGGCTCATCTCGAATTTCTATTGGGACAACGGGGGGCGGAACGGAGGGTGCATTGGATTAGTCGGGAAGAAATGGTGTGTGCAAAGGAGGAGGGTGGTCTAGGAATTCGAGAACTGAATGGTTTCAATACAGCTATGCTGGCAAAGCAACTATGGCGCCTTCACAATAGACCGAATTCAATGATATCGCGTATGGATGCCTCTTTGGGATACAGGCCGAGCTTCGTATGGCGGAGCTTGACGAGCGCGATGGAGTTTCTAAACAGTGGGCTCTGCTGGAGAGTTGGTAATGGTTCGTCGATCAGGGTATGGGGTGACAAATGGCAGCCAAATCATCCTACTGCGTACATTCCTTCAAACCCGACGGGCTTACCGGTTGATGCGAGGGTGCAGGATCTCATATCGCCGGACAATGATCAATGGGACGATGTTGTCTTGGAAGTGTGTTTTTCGACAGATATAGCTAACTTAATTCATACCATTCCTCTTCGAAATAGAGAGGAACCGGATCAGTTAATCTGGAAGGATAATCCTACAGGAGAGTACACCGTCAAAGAGGGATACATGCACTGGTTGCCTGAGTTTAAAAGCAGAGAACAAGTCTTGACAAAGGGGAACCGCAGGTGTGGAAGCGGATTTGGAGTTTGGGAGTGCCACCAAAAATCTGTCATCTTATGTGGCGGTTTGCTAGAGATATTCTGCCCACCAGTGACCACATCAGCACGAAGAGCAAGCGATAGGGGGGCAAATGCCCTTATTGAGACCAAAAGGAGACTCAAATCCATAGATTTGGAGAATGTCAATGGTCCTCCTGTTTATGGCGAAAGTCTTATGTAGCTGGGTTGGTTCATTCTTGCAGCCGAGAAGTTGGGATACGGAGATGGCGGAGGCTCTCGCTGCCGAGTTTGGAATGCAGCTCGCCCATCAAGCTCACATCGAGAATCCGATTCTTGAGACGAACAGCCGGTCTCTTGTCCAGAAGTTGAGAAAGCTGGAAAGTCTTCAATCGGAGCTTGGTGTCATTCGCCGTAATATTGGCCGCCTTGCAAAGGAATCAGGAAATGGATCATGGTGTCATATCTTGAGAGAAGGAAATAAGGCTGCTCATATCATGTCCCATTCGGAAATGCGATGGAACGAGAGGGAAGTTTGGTTTGATAGACAACTGATTTACCTTGTTGATCAGATTATGTTGGACGATGTAGCCGCACTATCTTATTAATAAAGGTTTAACAGATTCTGATAAAAAAATTATATCTTTACGGTTATAAAAAAAATACGATCATGTTCGATAAAAAAAAATATAAGATCATGTCATTACAGAATTTGCAATTATCCAACGTAAAAACCGTGAATTGGTGTGAGCTTTTTTTTTTTTTTTGTGAGAAACAGAGCGCAGAGGGGCGCTCTAACCCATATTCATTAATAAAACGGGGTGTTTGAACCCCTATCAAGCATGGTCCATGAAACCGTACCGGGAGAGTCAGCGTTAGGGTATTTTATGGTAAAATCGTGGTTTAATCGTAGTTCAACCGTTAAACCGTTAAATACCGCCTACCGATTTAGCCTTCAAGACTGATATTTCGTGGTTGAACCGTCGGTACGGTACGGTTTCATGGACAATGCTATCAAGTCGAACAAAAGCCAGTATCTCAAACTAGGTCTCGGGTCGTCAAACATGTGACACCCAACGGGCAAAGAATGGCGCACAGAGGCCATGAAATCTGCAACATAGTTGCTCTCACGGAACACATGACTCATCTTGACGTCCCAGTCTCGATCGAGCAACCGCCTGATAGCTGTAGCCAGCGTGCTATGTGGATGGCTCGCTCGTTCATTCTTTATAATCGATTGTCGTTCCTCGTAAATGATGGATTGGTGTTGAATTTAGACCACCACGAATTTGAAATTCTCTTTATTTAGATATTGAATTTTATAATAGTGGTATCTAATCGGATTATGATATCAAAGATAAATTTACTTTATCATACTCACGAGATTTTCAAATCCGTGGTGGTCTAGATTCAACACCAATCCATCATTTACGAAATCTGGCTCGCAAACAATCCCGACCTTAGTGATGTTGAGATAGATGTCCTTTAAACAAACCTAATTCAGACGTGTAGGAATTGTATACATGAAATAATGAACATAGATACAATATCTCTGACGTATACTCACAAACTCCTGATTTTACATCTTAAATAGTTCCAAACATTCCCAAGTTGAAGATAAAACAAAACTAATAACCCCTATATATAGAAAAAAAAACACGACAATACAAAACAAAACAAAAGAAAAAAACTCTTCCAATGCTCAAACCTTACACAACACCTCCTGACTGAATTCATCTCCTGCTCTCTCTAACCATAATTTCGTCGATAAACCGATAAATTGATTAGCCCTAACCTCAAGTTCCTCCTCACATAAACATCAAAGAGGGGGGAAAAAAAGGTAAAAGCGTAAACTTCCGGGCCAAGAAACATGTAATGTACCAAATTTACTTCAAATGTTGATGCTGAACTCTTTCACCTATGAGTAGTAACCCCTTGTTTTCATCCTAAGCAGCAATTCCTGAAACACCACCGAAACCCGAAACAAAGACATGAGCCTTAGCCTGCAAAACTTGAGAAGCTCTCGGACGAACAAGAGACGGACAATTTAAGGTAAATGCAAGCAGTTTCTGAGGCTAAGCAAGTATTGATTCAACCGGTACGCAAGTTTACATTAAGCAGAAGATATGAGCTTACCCCTATCTGATTGTCTATCAGTAATGCCATAACCACCACCATATGCTGCAGGGTTCTTAGTAAAAACACCCGAAGCTGTATTTCCAATGCTGAAATCAAACATCTCGGAAGACGTGGATCTCCAGGAAGAATCTCCATAGAGCGAACCATTCTCATAAAGGTCAGCAAAACCCGCCTTATCATAACCACCATTTGCAGCAGCAGCAGCACGAGACACAATGGGTGCAAAACTCGCCCCACCATTTCTTCCATATCCTCCTCCATTGCCATTGTTATATGTGGGTCCTACACCACCACCTGGCCCTGTATTAACCGAAGAATCCCAAAGAGCTCCAGAAAAGGAACCGAGTCCTGAGTTCCAACCTCCCCCATTGGAGTTTGCACTTTGAGGAACACCATCGTTGCTCCACACAGTACGAGAAACGGAGTTCAAGCTTGAATTGCTTCCTCCTCCATAACCAATGGGGTTCCCATACCTGCTCGAATTGCCATTGTACAAGGGACTCAACCAGCCAAACCCAGCATTTGACCCAAAGTTCGAGTTACTACCGTAACTCGGACTCGGACCCTGCTCGACATTTAGTCCTGAACCATACCCAGCACTAAATGGGGAAAAGCTGCTACGAGTTCCAGTGACCGGACTGAACCTTCCATCCATTCGAAGTCCGACAGAAGTTGGATTGTTTACCTGAGAGCTGTATCCATTGAGAAAACTATTGACTCTAGTAATGCCGTAGTTATATCCGGCAAACTGGTTTGGCGACCTGGTCGAACCAGGAGAAGATAGTTCCTTTGGAACAGCGCGTTTCACCTCAACCATCTTCCCATTGAGTTCATGGAATGTCTTGTACAACACTTTATCCACAGCTTCCTCTGTATCGAAGGTGATGAACCCGAAACCTCTCGGCCTTTGAGTGTTGTGGTCGTACATGACAACAACATCAGTGATTGTTCCGAACTGATCAAAGTAATTCTTGAAGTCGGTCTCTGTCACCGTTGATGCTAAGCCCCCTACAAATATTTTTTTTGTCCGAGTTGGACCAGGCGACCTCTGAATGCTGATGTTGTTGCTAATTCTGTTCAGATTGTTCTGATCGTCCCTGGGCAACGCTTTCTTCGCCTCAACCTGATCATCAAAAGCATAGGAAACAAAAGGATAACCAATAAATTACCATACTTATTAGCAAGCACCTATCTTTAACATCACAGTCTCATTGGAGGCTTTCTGTACATAAGCTAGTATCTCAGTTATCTATCTCAGATTGCTCAGCAGCCTAGCAATGATCCAGGGGACAAAATAGATCCCTGTTACAAATCATGATGCATCTAGCTAGCATTCAAACTACCAGGAAATTAAGAAGACATTTTTCAATATGACAATTGACAACTGAATCAAAGTATACACAGCAGAATCACTGAGATCACTAATCGCTTCGTCATTTGATATCTCTATTATCTTTCTGTTATTCAAGATCTGAAAATTATGAGGATCATTGTGATCTGCATTCACAATTCATGTCCTTCAGTGGTTTGAAGCAAGGACCAAAAATTGTTGAGGAAATATAACCTCGGTAGGCTCTAAACCCATAATTCAAGTCATCTTCAGGCCAACCACACTTTAGTTCCATCACTGCCTTCAAATAGTAATGACTGATGACACACAGACTGAATCACGACAGTTATGATGAGGAATCAAGCCTCTTGAACTTACACTCCTGCCATCAATGAGGTGCTTCTGCATCACAACTCGCTCAGCCACAGCAGGATCAGCAAAGACAACAAATCCGAAACCACGGGCCCGACCGGTGGACCGATCCTTCATAATCACAGCTTCCACAACATCTCCAAATGCCTGGAAATACTCTCTAAGACGGTCTTCATTCGTGTCCCATGAAATCCCACCAATGAAAAGCTTTCCCTGCTCCATCTCCAAAATCCTCCTGCAAAAAACCAATCTTTATATCAATTCTACGACTCTGATAATCAAACAGCGGGATCTGTTAATCAAAACACACAATTCTACCTAACCGAGAACAAACAAAGGAAAAAACCCAACAATCCATGTACGAAGAAACATCAAAATGCGGCTAGAAATGAATAATACCTTGCCGCAGAAATCAAGCAACAAAAAAGCTCACTCGGATGTCTCTATATATCAAGTGGGTACGCTCGTATTCAATCCAAAAAGGCGTTCGGAACTCTTAACCGATTGATCGACAGTATGAAGAGGCCAAAAGGAAACCGATCGCTCCCCAGCAGCAATCCAAATGAACGGAAGACAAAATCTTCGACGAAGAAATGTCTAATAACTAATAAGATCCAAAAACCCAGATATCAATTTACGCAAAAAGGAGCAAGCTTTATCTCTCTTTTAATGTCTACCCTTTCTTTCTTGCGGATGGGGAAGAAGAACCCAGAAGAACAGAAATGAATGAAAGAAAAAAACTGATTGATTGATCAAAGAGAAAGAGAACCCAGATAACAGAAGATTTGAGAGAGAATCTCAAGATCTGAACAACAACATGAAAATAAAAAGAGAGGGTGAGCAGCTAAGGCTCTTCTCCCCCTTTAGGTTCTCTTTCTCTTTTCTTTCTTCCCCTTTCTTTTCCCCTTCTTCTTCCCTTGTTTGTAGAATTACTGTTCTGGATTTCAATTGGGATTTGAATTTATATAGCGTTAAATTGGAATTGGGATTTGGTATTTGCCAGAAAGGGAGGGGAGGGGAAGGGGAAGGGAAGGGAAGGGAAGGAGATGTGAGGAAGAGAGTGGAGGGGAGAAGTTTGTTTTGTTGCAAAGCAAAGAGAGAGTATGGGGAAGGTGGTGACTTCCCAAGTTTAACAAGTTTGATTTTGGTTTTTGGAGAAAATAATAATTTCAAATGTTGAACCTTTTCCCCCTTTGTTATTTCATATTTCTCTATCTAATTATTGAACAATTAAAAAAAAAATCTAGATTGGCGTCAATTTCTGGTACCCTATGTTCTACGGTTATTTTCCCTATTTTTCTGAGGGTGTTTTTTTTTTTTTTTTTTGCCCATTGACTCTAGATCCCTTTCAAATTTGGTTTGGTATAATTTTCAATTAAAATTCTTTAGGGCTATGGTTTTATTTGATTATATATTGTTAGCCTGTATAGCACTACGACAAACTAGCAATCTTAACGAGTTAGAGATAAAAAAGTAAAAATTTTAGATAATAAAGATGAAGATAAAAATAGCATGATTCTATAAACAATCAAATTAATAGGCGCAGCTAGCTCGGGTATCATGTTTTTCACAACTTAAATCTATTTAATGACATTGATTAGTAGCATGTGGTTTGCCTTCATTGTCTATCATATTGTCAATTTATCATTTGTCTCTTGCCTTTCAATACTACATCAAACGAAAGTAGCCTAATACTTCATTCTCCATGTAACAACATTTACTTGTAACTTGTACATGTCTAATTGCAATTTTTCTTTAAAATGAAAATTTGCAAATGATTGCTCGTATCTTTTCACATTTTCAAAATTTCAATCATATTGCATCATCACATTCGTTATAGAAGTAACTGCCTCTTACATGTTGGTACATCACTAAATAATACAATTACTAATCGAAAATGGCTAATCGCATCATCATTTAGTAAAAACTAGAATACTTTTTAGGGTGCGCCTACGGTGACATGCATGTCACGGTGACTTACACTTTTCGGTCGACCTCAGTTAGGATTAGGTCGACCTCATTTAGGATTAGGTCGACCTAATCTGTTGTTTCAGTGTAAAAACAGTTTCATGGTGCCTACTTTGGAGATTCATATCATACAATTGGCTAGATGGAAATTGAAGATTAATAGCTTGTTTTGAAGCTGGAGTGTCCCTCTACATATTGAAGTGATTGAGAGCTCGATAGGAAGCCCATAAGACCATTTTTGAACCTGATCAAAAGCCTATGCCAAAATTGGGAAACTGCCTGAAAATGGCTAAGTCTGGAAACGTGTTTGTGAAGCCTACTTTGGAGCTCAATTCGAGAAGCATGAATGAGAGTCGAGCCCAGGGGCCTCTACCATGTTAAATTAGGTATTTTTATACAAATTCAAGGCCTTAGATGAAAGATTGGATATCTTTAAGGCTTCAAACAAAAGGGTCGAAGTTGCTACGAAGGCTGTTTTTCTGCCAGACTTCGAGCACAAGCAAGCTGCCAGAAAAATAGCCTTCGTAGCAACTTGGAGCCTTTTGTTTGAAGCCTTAAAGATATCCAAACTTTCATCCAATGCCTTGCCTTTCTAGACAAACATACCTAATTTAACGTGGTAGAGGCCCCTAGACTCGAATCGCATCCATGCTTCTCAAATTGAGCTCTAAGGTAGGCTTTACAAACACGCTCCCAGACTTGGCCATTTTCAGACAGTTCCCAGTTTTGGCATAGCCTTTTGATCAGGTTCAAAAATGGTCTTCTGGACTTCCTATCGAGCTCCCAAGTACTTTAATGTGTAGAGGGACACTTCAGCTTCAAAACAAGTCATTAATCTCCAATTTTCATCTAGCCAATTGGAAGATATGAATCTCCAAAGTAGGCACCATGAAACAGTTTTTACACTGAAACAACATATTAGTCGACCTAATCCTATATGAGGTAGACCGGAAAGTGCATGTCACCGTAGCAAAGTCGTACTTTTTACTATATAAAAAATATAGTTACATGTGTAAGCAACTTATCAGGACAACTCACCTAAGTTGGGGTTTTAATCCAAAACAATAATATAAAGGAAGAATTTCAACTAATTCTATGAAAGTTAATAGTATATGGCTTTTCCTTTCTTGAGTGTAACTAATGTACATGAATCTTCATTGAAATATCTTGAAGACTTGAAAGGCAGAAGTTTTTTAGACAAAATTAGATTCAAGAATGCTTGATCTATGGGGAAGGGATGATGGAAAAACAAACATGTTTTCAGCACCCTTTTCAAATTCAAGCTTCGACATTAAGTGGTTTAGAATACAACTTTTTGAAATTTATGTGTCCTGGTAATTTTGTAAAGGACAAAATATGAGCATTCACAATTTGCATGTAAATTTTATAGGCAAGTTATAACTTATGAGTTATCATATATATATATAAAATAAAAAGGAGAGAAAAATTACCCATAATCATAATCTCCAACTACAATTTTATCTACAATATTCGATTGTAGAATTCATCAACAATTTATTCAAAAAATATTTCAAATATAAGATTATATCATTAAATTCTTTCATTCAGAGTAACAATAAAATTTATCAATCTCGTAAAAAAAAAATTAATGCATTTCAGTTTTGAAGTGATGAAGATCAAATCTTATTGATCCCCCCTCAACTTTTCTTGTGATCAAAAGGTTGTAAGTTGTAACACACTTGACTACTAAGTACATAAAAACTTTTGGCCCTCCAAGGTGATGAACACATAAATATTAAGAGAAAGGAATAAAAGAAAATAAAAGCTAAAATGATGCTTGGGAGACAGAAGGGATCACTTGTCCTCCACCCACTACTAATCCAACCAATAAAACCAATAAGCTCCCTATAAATTATACAATACAATGTCTTAGAACAGATTACTCTTTCTACCAATAATTTGCTTCCTACTAGTTTGTTTATGAGTAAAATCTTCGCTTCAAATATAATAATAGCATTTTAGATTCTTCACTATTTCAAATTAACGAACATACAAACATGTCCCTCTATTTTTTTTTATTTGTCCTAGTTTAATTTTCCAGAGATCAATTAAATTGTAGTTTGTAACATCTAACTACGATGAAATCACAGATTCGGTGAATTTGTGGGTAACATAAAAATTATTTAATAAAGAGGAAAAGTGAAAGAGGAAATTTTATTTAATAAGGAAGGGGCAATATGGTCATTTTTCTTCCATTTTAACGGTCAGTTAATAGAATTTTGGATGGAAGGGTATGTTTGTGAAAAAATAGTAGAGGGACATGTTTGTTAATTTGGAATAGTAGAATAAAATGCTATTAACCCTATATAAAAAAAACATGTGTAAATTAGCTTTAAATGTGTTATTTTGACTAATTAGATTTATAGTAAATTTTAATTGTTGTTAATTTGAACGTTGATTTGGTCCAATTTAAAATAAATACCATCTGAAACGATGCATAAACATTTGTGCAGCGGCAAAGTACATTTAATTTTTCTGCTACGAATTCTTTATATCGGGCAATAAATACAAGAGTTTTGCTGAATACTAGTGTTCAAGTAACAAAAATATTTAGGGGACTTTGAAAAAAAGGATGCTCTCAAACGCTCTCTCTGAAGTTCCGCCGGCGACATTGTCTCTCACTCCTTCCGGCCGACCTCCTGATTTCCCGATGGCCGAAACGACACAGAAACCAGCGACGGTAGGGGTCGCAGGTGATTCAATGGCGGTTGATCCAAGTGCTGGCAATAGTCCGGTCACAGCGGGATCTCCTGCTGTGGGATCTGTAGCGTCTGCGGAATCAAACCCCGCTCAAGATAACCAGCCAAATCAAGCGATGGGAGGAGGCCCTTCCGCGGGTACACAATCTGCTCCGACCCAACTTCCCCTCTCGTACGCCAAAGCAGTGGCTGGAATTGGGCAACAAAGCTTGACGAAGCCTCCTGAATGGACTCCTGTGGGGGAACATGATTTGGTAACCGGAAATTTCAATGGGGAACCGTCCTTAACGCTCTCTGATACCTTTAAGGGAAGATTGTGCGCCCCATGGCAGAAGACGCTCGTTGTTCGCCTTCTTGGTCTTCATATCGGGTACTCCACACTTTGCTCCCGACTCAGAGGCTTGTGGCGGCCGACCGGCTCGATGGAGGTTATGGATCTGGATGATGCATGCTATTTGGTGCAACTTTCCAACGAACAGGACTACTTCAAAGCCCTCACCGATGGTCCTTGGGTCATATTCGATCATTATCTAGCCGTGCAACAGTGGACACCTAAATTTGGAGTCTATGACCCTCTCCCTAAATCTATGATTGTTTGGGTTCAGCTGCCAGCACTCAAAGTTCATTTCTACCATAAAGAGGTCTTGATGACTCTGGGAAACCTCATTGGCCGCACCATCAAACTTGATTATCATACCCTCAACAGACAACGAAGGAAGTTCGCACGAATAGCAGTGGAAGTCGACATGTCCAAGCCTCTGGTTCCTCGCATCTGGCTAGATGGGGCATGGCAGAAAGTAGAATACGAGAATCTCCCCACGGTGTGCTTTGAATGCGGTAAGATCGGACACAACTCCTCGACATGCCCGACCTTACGAGCTGCAGAGACGTCGGATCAGTTAGCCATCGTCGTCGGCGGGGAAGCTCCGGCACCGGCGACCACCGAGGCGGCGGATTCTAACCCTGGTTTTGGACCGTGGATGCTAGTTACCAAAAAGAGCCGACGCAATCCTAGGGATCAGTCGAAAAAAGGTAATTTGGGGAATGATTTGGGGAGGGAAATCACAGGGCAGCTAAACAAGAATGGCAAGGGTTGGAATAAGAATAAGGAAGGTGGAGAATCCCCTAACCACAATGTCTCTGCCAAGCCGTTAGGAAGCCAACGGAAAACTAGCCATGAAAGGAAAGGAGCCTCCCCACTTGATGACTCCCCTGGGTCTGGAAAAGCAAAGAATAAAGGAAAGGAGATTGTGCAGGAAGGCAACGAAAGTAATAAGGGGATTCTCGGATCAAGGCCAACTCAAGGGCTCGGCAAAACAAATGGGCCTCGGCCCACGACAGTGCAAAATCGAGCCTCTACGTCAGCTACCTCTCTTGAATCCCTCGGCCCAGTTGGCGACCCGATAGATCTGGATACCGTTTCTCCTATGGCTGTTCAGGCTGCCAGCCCAATCAAGCTCAAGACTGCCTCCCCTCCAGTCCATACCGTCTTGGGAACTAAAGGGACTAAAATTCAGATCATCTCCCTTCACAACAAATCCGAGCAGCCCCAAGAGCCGGACATAAAGAAACCGACGATCGGATCCCGTACCAAGCATAAAAACGAGGCCAAGCAAAAATCCAAGAAAGGGACGCCAGTGAAGCAACAAGTGAATAAAATTCTGCAGGTGTGGTCCCCCATTAAGGAACGGAAGGGTAGGTCGAAAGCTCGCCTAGCGTCGCTCACCCTACAGGAGATTAATGCCTGGACAAGTGCAGCGCAGAAGGAAGCAACTATGGCGGTTTCAGAAATTGCCGAGCTGACTATTAAGAACCAACAAGACCCAGTGCTGGAAGTGGTGGCGGCAACGCCTCCATCGCAGTAACCCGGTGTTCCCCTCCCTTTGGTTTCATGCCTTTTCTTTCGTCTTTTCCCTCTCCTCCCTTCTTCGCTCTTATTTTATTTTTTTATGTCTAGTGCTCATAAAATTAAAATCCTGGCTTGGAATGTGGGCGGAGCAGGCAGTAATGCCTTTGCCCGAGCTCTCAAGCTGGTCATTCAAGTTCAGAAGCCTGATTTTGTCATTTTGCTTGAACCTCAGATTAGCGGCAACGTTGCAAACAAAGTCTGCGATAGATTGGGTTTTCCTGATGTTATCCGTGTCGAGGCAGAAGGGCGCAGCGGAGGCATTTGGGTGTTTTGGGATGCTCGTAGTTTTTCAGTTCATCTTCTTGGGGTGTGCTCGCAGCACGTGACTCTCCGTGTCTCTCAAAGCAACGCCGTCGATTGGATCCTCACTGCCGTTTACGCTTCTCCTCGCCACAGTGAACAGCAGGTCCTTTGGGATAGCCTGATTGAGCAAAGCCAGGCGATTGAAGTCCCGTGGATCCTCACTGGGGATTTTAACGCTATTCGTGACCCTGCAGAGAAGTCAGGGGGGGCTTCAGTGGCGGCGGTTCGGAGATGTCGTGTTTTCAATGATCGGATCAATACTGCTGAGCTTGTAGACCTGGGGTTTTCTGGGCCAAAGTTCACCTGGTCTAGGGGCGAGAACACGAGCTCTTACAAAGCCAGCAGAATCGACAGAAGCCTGTGCAACGTTTTGTGGAACTCAGCCTTTCCTAACACCACTGTTCGCCATTTGCCCCGGCTCAACTCAGACCACAATCCTATTCTTACTTCGGTTGCCACCCAGGGGCATTCTTCTCCTTCCTCTCGTGGTTTTAGATTTGAGGCCGCTTGGCTCACTCATAACACCTTTTTTAATACCATTGCAGGAGCTTGGAGTAAGGAGGCTCCCCTGCCAGAGGCTCTAACCAATCTCGGCTCGGTGCTACAGGATTGGAATCTTAATATCTTTGGGAATGTGCAACAGCGAAAGAGGAGACTTCTTGGGCGCATTCGCGGAGTTGAGCTTCGGCTGTCGGAAGCCTTCCAACCTGGCCTAGCTAAGCTTCACTCCAAACTCGAAGCAGAGCTGGACAAGGTGCTCGAGCAAGAGGAGCTTCTTTGGTACCAAAGGTCAAGGGAAAATTGGGTCAAGTTTGGCGAGCGTAACACCAGTTACTTTCACAATCAGACCAGCATTAGGAGGCGAAAGAATATGATTACGGCTTTGCGGGACGTGGCGGGTAACTGGATTGAGGATCCGCAGGAGTTGGCCCTAATGGTTTTTGATTTCTACACTAATCTTTACCTGCAGGATAACTCCATGTATGAGGACAAGATGCCGAGGAATGCTTTCCCGCGTATTGAGCATGAGGAACTCCTCAGCCTTCTTCGACCTTTCAGCATCCTGGATATTCACAAAGCTGTGTTTGATATGAAGCCATTTCAGGCTCCCGGGCCGGATGGTTTTCATGCTGCCTTCTTCCAAAAAGCTTGGAGTATAGTGGGGAAGTCCTTAACAGATATGGCGCTCAACTTCTTCTCCTCTAGGACTTTGCCGGACAAAGTCACAGAGTCTACTGTTGTGCTCATCCCGAAGGTCGAGCAACCGGAGTTGGTTTCCTAGCTGCGTCCTATTTCCCTGAACAATGTCTGCCTGAAGGCCATCACGAAAGCGATCACGAGCAGGCTTAAACCAATCATGAGGAAACTTATCTCCCCCCAGCAAAGCAGCTTTATTCCTGGCCGTCAAACTACTGACAATGTCATCATTGTTCAGGAAGTCATCCACACTTTGCGGAAAAGGAAAGGAAAGATAGGAGGGCTAATTCTGAAGATTGACTTAGAAAAAGCTTATGATATGCTGAGATGGGATTTCCTGCGAGACACTCTGAAGGAGGTTGGGCTGCCTAGTTCCTGGATTAACTGTATCATGTACTGTGTTGAGCAGAACAAGATGCGTGTGCTCTGGAATGGATCTCTCTCAGATGTCATCACTCCTACACGCGGTGTTCGCCAGGGAGACCCTCTATCCCCCTATCTTTTTGTTTTATGTATGGAACGGCTTTCTCACAAGATCGATGAGGCCCTTCTCAGTAAGAAATGGAAACCCATTAGGCTTACAAAGGATGGGCCGCCTCTCACTCATCTCTTTTTTGCAGATGACTTGCTCCTTTTTGCTGAAGCAGAATCCAGACATATCAGGATTATCAAGGACTGCTTGGATGAGTTCTGTGCCAGTTCCGGACAGAGAGTTAACTATGCCAAATCCTTGATGTTTGTTTCTCCCAATGTTTCAGAGCTAAAGCAAGTCTTCTCAGTGAAAGGGCGGCTATCCCTTTGAAGCTTGAAATTGGGAGATACTTGGGAATTGAAACCATCCACGGCAGAGTAACAAAGGGGAGATATCAGAAGCTTCTCTTGCGGGTCCAGAATAAGTTGGCTCCTTGGAAGGCTAGGCGCTTATCACTTGCTGCTAGACTGACGGTCTCCAGATCGGTGATTGCCTCGCTTCCGACCTACCATATGCACACGGAACTCATTCCCAAATGAATGTGCGCATCGCTCGATCGTGTAAACAGAGATTTTGTCTGGGGAGAAGGAGATACTAGATCGCGGCTACATTTGGTGGCATGGGACAAGATGGTGCTTCCTAAGAGTCAAGGTGGAGCAGGTCTTCGCTCAATCCAGAAAGCAAACATGGTTATGCTCGCCAAAAGTGGGTGGAGACTGATCAAAGAAAAAGATGCATTGTGGACTCAGGTTGTTAAAACCAAGTATGGGAGCTCCAAAGAAAACTTGGATCTGCTTCGACCAGTTCAGGGAAGTTCCTTTACCTGGAAAAGCCTAGCTGCGGCCTCTACGCTTTTGAGAAGCGGTTGTGCGTGGAATATTAAGAATGGTACTGCCACTAAATTCTGGCTTGATCCTTGGATTTTGCAGGGACCGCTGAAGGACATGGCGCTTGAGGAGATTCCGGCTGAACGCTTAGAAGAAATGGTAGCAGACCTGACCAATGAGGATGGCATGTGGTGCACAGAGCGCTTCGCAGGCTTACTTCCCATGGATATTCAGGACAAGATTACAAGCGCAGCTGTGGATAAATTCTCAACCGAGAAAGATACCCTTTTCTGGACTCTATCTTCTAATGGGAAGTTCTCCACCAAAACTGCCTATGAGTCTCTTCTACCGCTTGGTACTGACTCGGATGCGAAGTTTTGGAAGCTCATTTGGAGTCTACCTATTCCCGAGCGGGTTCGCTGTTTTGTTTGGCTTACTTGTTTGGGGAAGCTTGCGACAAATGCCCTCCGCTTCTCCAGGAAGTGTGCTCCTTCTCCGAACTGTGCTCGCTGTAATGGGCAGCGGGAGACAATTATTCATATCCTTAGAGACTGCCCTCCTGCCAGCTTCCTGTGGACCAGACATGTCCCTAGCAACAAGCAGCAACGGTTTTTCACTTCAACCACTGAAGATTGGCTTCGCTTGAATCTAGCTGACGTAGAGGAGGTGTCCCAGGGAATCCCGTGGTCAACCTTCTTCAGTATTGCAGTGTGGATTATCTGGAAAAACAGGAATGATCTTTGTTTCAAGGGCATATCCTCCACTCTCACTGCCCCGTCTCTTGCTCATTCTGTTATGGCAAAGGTCAGGCTATGGCACGCAGCTTGGATAGCCCCATCCCTGCTGCCTGGTTTGAGATCTGCTCCTCCCAGCAGGGTTATGGCTGATATTTCCTGGGATCCGCCGCGGGGCGGGTGGATGAAACTCAACCTGGATGGAGCTTCCAATGGCAATCCCGGTCTAGCTGGAGCTGGCGGGGTTTTGAGAGATGATAGTGGCAGGTGGATCTCCGGCTTCGTGGCAAAGGTTGGCGAGGCCTCAGCCGCCTTGGCCGAATTATGGGCCTTCCACTACGGTTTGGATATAGCTTGGAAATCCGGATGCCGAGCTCTTTTGGTTGAATCCGATTCCCAGCTTGCTATTCAGTTGATCAATGACAGGCACGATCCAGTTCATCCGTATGCTACTTTGTTGTCCTCTATCCGCAGGCGAATCAGTAGGGACTGGTTGGTGCGTATATCTCATGTATACCGTGAAGGGAATAGAGTCGCGGATTGGCTCTCGAAGCACAGTCTCGTCTATCCCTATGGGGTACATGAGCTAGCGCACCCTCCAGCCGGTCTGCTCTCCATTCTGCGGGATGATGTTCAGGGTGTTGCCTTTCAAAGGCGGGTTGTAATTCCTTCCTCCTCCCCTCCCCTCTCCTTCCCTCCCCTGTAACCTCTCTGTTCTTGGCTTTGCCTCCCTTTATGCAAAAAAAAAAAAAAAATACAAGAGTTTTGCTTATACGACTTATAATACTTTTCATTCTTCCCTCACCTCCATTTACCCACTTTTGTCACTCGATTCCTACTATGAATGACCATATGCATGGCAGATCTGTCGAAGAAATAACTAGCATTAATAAGATCCCGATGTCGACAGAAATAATAAATGGAATTGTAATGTTATTATATAACGATAATTGACAACTTTTTTTAATTATGTTAAGAAATTCATGTTATTATTCGCTCAAACTTATATAATCGTTTCGATAAATTACTCGGAAAAAAAGGTGCCAAATGGCGAGGATGATGGGAGAGCAATCCGATTGAGGATGACTGTGGATAGATTGGATATATGTGACGTTATCCAGACCACACTTTTGCCCCATTCAATCTAATTTTCAATTCTCCCCCATCGTTTGTATTTTTTGTCCCACCGATAACCAAAAACCACAGCTCTTTCTAATTTTGACCCACCGACCGATGTGGTTTGGTTTTACATTCATTTTGTACATTGTCAACTGATCAAATAATGTAATTGCGTTGCATAAGCAAATTGACGACCGACCTTTTGCGTAGTTTCTAAATTTGCGATTCTGTAACTACACACTTATTAATTGTTTTATCTTGATTGATTACGACATAAGAGCTGCTGCACGCGTGACCTTAACCCCATTTTCCCCCCTTCGTTCTTCAAGCCAAGGCGGTTAACTTGCTACGTGTGACGGGAGAAGGAAGCTGGAGGTACATCGCTCGCGAAGCAATTGCAGACCGCGACCTATTTGGTTAATCAGTTACAACATGACTATATAACCGCCTTCACTGATTAATAAAACTTTGACTAGGTTTCACGATAAAAAAAGGCGGTTAAGTTTATTATTATTATTTTCTTAAACAATCCTTCAATATCAAGGTTTATTAACTTTCTTCCTATATGTCTGATCATATCAAGATTTCCCACATAATTTGGATTAGCTTTTGGTTGAACAATATTTCCCAAGCCACCTAAGAATGGGAAGGCTCCACCGATACATGTATATAACTGTAGCTGTATACAGTGGTGTAGTGGGGGAAACCATAATCAACATTTTTTTTTGTCATAGATAGTTTGTAATAGATAGTTCTTTACAATGCATTGGAAATATAAATGCGGTAGTCAACCAACTGGGTTGCTACCGATGCAAGGGCCGTTTGTGCCACGCGATGGGCAGCCCTGTTAGTACTACGAGGAGCAAAAACAAAACAAACAACTGCAAAAGAGGTCTTCATGACTCGCACTTCTTCCAGTACCGCTCCACCTCTATCATGGCAGACGTCGTCCTCCATTGCTCGTCGTATGACCAATTGTGAATCCCCACAAAAGCAAACAGATGAGTAGCCACGGTGTAAACTCCAAACCATTGCATCCCTTAAGGCTAGTAATTCAAGTAAGAATGGATCGGAGATACCTTCGTAGTACTTACCGTAGGCGCATATCACTGCGCGGTCCCCATTGAAACCCACAAATCCGACGCTGCCCCCGACTCCCTTCTTTGTCGCTCCATCAAACCTCATGAGGATACCGCCTGGCGGGCAGGAAGGTTGGGGAGGAAGGCTGCGAGGAACTCGTACCGAAGCGGCCTGGCCATGCTGATCAATTGTAGCCTCTTTCCACTCGGTAACTTGATTAGTGAATTGGCGGTGCAATGGACCTGGTAGATACTGAATGTAGTCGTATGTAGACCAGCATCTCCCCTTCCATAATCTCCAAACCAGGAAGACCACCTCTGCTATGTCCATTTTGGAAAGCTGCATAGAGAAAAATAGATTGGACCAGGCCAAATCGTAATTAACAACAGCCATGGCAGCCCGGATATGCTCCTTCCCTGCTAGTGTCCATAGCCCTCGCGCGATCCTGCAATCAAAGAAGCAGTGAGAGATCGATTCCACGGCAGCTGAGCAAACGAGACAAGTGTCAGTGTCACATAAAGACTTCCCTTTCAGTATTTGGCGCATTGGAAGGAATCCACGAACTACTCGCCACAAGAAGACTTTAAGTTTGGGGGGAATAGGCAGGTTCCACAAGAATTTCCAGAATTGTTGATTAAGGAAAGGAGGTAAGGGATCAAACTCAAGGTGTCGGCCAGATGAGAGTAGGTGATACCCGGTCTTGACAGTGTACTGACCCGTCGCCGAGAAATGCCATATAAGCTTGTCTGGTCGCGGTGCAGATGGCAATGGAATAGAGAGAATCCACTGTACACTCTCTGCCTCGAATGAAGCGCGGATAAGTTCGCTGTTCCAGGTCCGGGTGAGAGGATGAATGAGCGAAGCAACGAACTGATTCTGCAGAATAACCCCGGGCAGCAGCATAGGCGAAGAAGGAGGGGAAGAAGGTAACCATGGATCATCAAGGATGCGAACAGCCGTCCCACACCCTATCTGCCACCTCAAACCACGCTTAAGGAGTGCCCGCCCTTCCAATACGCCCTGCCAAGCCCACGACGGACGGGAGCCTGCTGACGCGTTGAGAAAATCAGCCGAGGGATGATAACGAGCTTTGTAGAGGCGCGCGAGGAGAGAAGCTGGATCCTGCAGGATCTTCCAGGCTTGCTTGCCCAGCATGGCAACATTAAAGAGATCAAAATCTCTGAACCCCAATCCGCCATGAAATTTGCTGACACAGACCGCAGGCCATGAAATCCAGTGCATTCCCCTGTCTTTATCCTGACCTGCCCACCAGTATCGACTCAGCTGGCCATTCAGACGGCGACAGGACGTGGACGGCAGCCGGAAAGAGAACATAGCATACACTGGAGTTGCCGAGCCTACTGCTTTGATTACAACCTCTTTAGCCGCTAGTGAAAGGGACTTCGAACGCCAGCTTTGGATACGGACAGCCAAGTTATCCTCCACAAACCTGAACGTTTGAACCTTTGAACGCTGAACTTGGGCAGGCAATCCCAAATATTTCTCCATAGAACCGATGGATGTGACCCCAAGCAGGGCTGCCATGGCCACCGATTCCTGATCAGACATGTTTGAGCTGAAACAAACCGATGATTTCTGAAGATTGACTCGCTGTCCACTAACTTCTTCATACAAATGTAGCAATTGGAGCAGGTTATGGCACTCCGAGGACGTTGCACGCAAGAACAAGTAAGTGTCATCGGCGAAGAAGAGGTGAGAGAGAGTCGGAGCCAACCTGTGGATCTTGAGGCCATGAAGATGCTGAGATTCCATCGCATTAGTAAGCATAGCCGAGAAAGCCTCAGTGTAGATAGCAAACAGCAGAGGCGAGAGCGGGTCTCCTTGTCGTAGACCACGTTGGGGACGAAAGTAACCATGTTCATTACCGTTTAGGAGAACAGTGAAAGAGACTGTGGTGACACAGGCTTTGATCCACTTCATCCAATGATCATTGAACCCAAGAGCCTCCATTACGGCGAAGAGAAATCCCCACTCGACCCTGTCGTATGCTTTTTCCATGTCCAGCTTTAAGGCCATCCACCTATCCCGACCCTGCGATTTCGTTTTCAAATATTGCATCACCTCCTGGGCTATCAGAATGTTGTCAGATATATCTCGACCTTTGATGAACCCATTCTGAGTATCCGAAATCACAGAGGGAAGAATCACCGCAAGCCGAGAAGTAAGAACTTTGGAGATGATCTTGTAAAAGACCTGACAAAGGCTGATGGGGCGCATCTGGCGCATAAGATCTGCATTTACTACCTTGGGAATCAAGGTGATGATAGTGTGATTGAAGTTCTGCAGGAGTCGGCCTGTTCTGAAGAATGAGAGGGCTGCCCGGCACACTGACTCCCCCACGATGTCCCAATAAGACTGAAAGAAGCCCCCCGTTAGGCCATCGGAGCCCGGCGCTTGCCCCTTTCCTATGCTGAAGGCTGCCGCTCTTATCTCTTCTCTAGTCACATTCGCCGAGAGAAACATGTTCTGACTGCTCGTGACCTTATGTGGTAGACCCAGCGCCTGCACAAGGAAGCCTGGTGATGTCCCATCAGAAAGAAAGAGTTGCTGGAAAAAACTTACAGAGACATTTCCCTTGGCAGGCTCTTCATAATGTGGCTGCCCATGGTCATCACGCAGGACCTCGATCAGATTATGCCGGCGGCGTTGAGTGGTAGTAATATGGAAGTAATTAGTGTTGGAGTCTCCCTTTTGCAGCCAAGTAGTACGAGATTTTTGTCTCCAGTAGGCCTCTTCTTGAAGATAGGCTGCTGAAAGTTGGGTTTCCAGCCCTGTGATTATGTCCCAATCAGTCTGGAGAGTATCTCGTTCAGCTTGTATTGCTTCCCGCAGCTCTCTGATATGGCGAGCTGAATTGGTTGTACCAAGCCGCGCCCATTGTACAAGTTGATGGCGAGCCTCTTTACAGAGGGAAAACAGTTGGAATTGCAATGTACCTGAAACATTCAGCTGCCAAACCTGAGCTATAATCTCTCGAGCTTCAGTGTTAGCCGCCCAGCGAAGATCAAAGTGGAAGCGCGGCTTTCCTTTCCCTGCTGCTGGGATTAATTGGAGCAAGAGGATCCGGTGATCGGATCCTAAATCAGAAAGATGAGTAACCTGCAAATTCGGCCAGGTAGTCAATAGATTAGAGGAAACCAAACCCCTATCTAATCGTTCTAAGATATGAGTTGCTATTCCTTGGCGGTTAGACCAAGTAAAAGGAGCTCCCTTAAATCCCACGTCTAGCAAACCTGCCGAGTTGACGAAGTCCCGGAATTGATCCATGGCTTGAAGGTTTGGGGGTCGGCCCCCAAGCTTCTCTGTTGACTGAAGTAAGCAATTAAAATCACCCACCACAATCTTAGGAAGATGATAAGACGAACACAAATGCAAAAGTTCATTGAATTGAGAAAGACGAATATTTACATCACAGTGAAGATGAACAAACAAGATGCCCAATGTACCCCAAACTACATGCTGGCATTCTACAAACAAGAAGAATCCAGCCTGTCCTAATATTCGACAATCAACGGAAGAAGAACACGCAAGAGCTAAACCACCTGCTCTACCAATAGGAGAAACACAATGAGTAAATGGAAATCCTAGACGCCTAAGCTTCTTATGTACAAAATCATCATCATGCTTAGTCTCACTTAGAAAGACAATCGACGGGGAGAAGCGGCAAACGGCCCCAAACAACGAGGGAATCGTCAGGGGGGACCCCAAACCCCGACAATTCCACACCACCATGCTCATCGCGGCTGCTGGGACCAGTTTGGGCTGGGTTCCTCCACCACTGAGTCATTCTCTTTGTCACCAGAGGTGTCCATCAAGTCCACCCGAGCTTTCTTCAATGCCATAGACACGTCCGCCGCACCATCCAGCATAGGCCTGGAGCGCACCAGAGAAGCAGGCTGATGGGGATCATGACCTCCCCCTTGCAACTGTGCCTCTGCCTCGAGCGGAGATGGTTCAGCCGGCAAAAACAGAGGAGCAGCCCCCACTGCAGGGGAGGCAGCAGCAGTTGATTGCGGCAAAGGCAATGGACGGCTTCGACTAGGCTGGCCTAGGCTCTTCTCTGTCCCTTCGCGAGCTTGTCGAACCCAAGTGAACTGCTTGCGGCTCAATAACGAGCGCTCGTTCACCTTTGGCCCTGACCTCGTCGACACCAGATCTTTACTGTACGGGGTAACCGTACCAGCGAGTTCCTCCCGTCGAGGGCAGCGTTGGCCGACATGACCAAGAATCCCACACAGAAAGCAGAATTGAGAGAGCCTTTTGTATTTGACAGTGGCCGTGAAGCTTCCTTTACTGGATTTCTCATGTGAGGCAGGCACTGACACCGGGAGCGGAGATCTGGCATCCAACCAAACTTTGGCGTGTATGTACAGCTCACCGGTTACTACCTCCCTGTGGACTGCCGTTGGTTCGCACCTGCCAAGGGCAAGGCCTAGCAAAGTACCCACTTTTCGAGTGCAGCAGGAGGGGGGAATATCCCAAAACTGAAGCTGGAGAGGGACGCGCCAAAGCTGCTCCGCCACTTCAGGGGTAACCGCCACCCAGGGAGCGAGGTTGACAAGGAATTTGGGGAGGAACCAGGGGGCCTCACGCAAAACTCCGTTCATAGCAGCCTCCGTCGGAAAGACAAATTGCAGCAGCCCCTCCTGCGCTGGGAGGATGGAAAGCGTCCCGAGACACCGCCACAGTCGACCAAGGGTGGTCTGGAGATGGCGGATGGGGGGCGAAGGCCCAACGATCCTGCCCAGGAGAGACAGGTCGCTGCGCTCAACTCCAGCCATGACATCATCGTCTCCAAACAACACCGGATTGAGAGCCGCCATACTGGGCAAAACCAATTTAGGGTTCGGCAACTGAGCAAGGAGAAGAAATGACGAGAGGGAGGAAATCCAATGGGGCGAATGGAATCGCATAGCCCAACGAAGGGATTTTAAAGCCTCCATCTGCGCCTCAGGCCTAATCCGGCGGGGCACGATGGCGGCGTGGCCGTTACCGGCAAGTCGCACGGCGGCGAACAATGCGCCCCCACTCACCACGATAGAGAGAGGCGAGAGAGATGGGGTTTTTTTTTTTTTTTTTTTTTCCTTCCCCTAAACCATAATCAACATTGCATAAACAACTTCATTAAATGCCGACTATTTTTTATTAAAATAGTTATAAATCATCGAATCATACCAACCCAGCATTTGGTGTAATGTTTGTGGCTTAGATAAATTCGTCGTTGTTAGAAAAAGAAAACCCAGTTCATAGATAATTTGAATATAAATCATGATTTTACCGTATCGCATGTTGTGGATGGTATAATTTATGTTGATGATTCTTTTTATTTCATGATGAACTTGATAAGGGAAATGGAGTTTAATATTAAGTTCATTATTGTCAAACAAAATCAAATTTAATGATGAATCGATTCAATACATTTTGTTTAGATGGTCGGTGATCGCCTAATGAACCCATTATTAGGTTTTGTGGATAGAGCTGAGATCTCCTTCCTCAACCCAATCCTTTATCTACTTACATAGGAATTATTTATTCACATGCTATGCATTTTAGTATATTGATTAACAATGGAAGGTATCTATGTATTAATATTTTCAAACTAATAATGTAAACAAAGAGGACCAAAGAGTAAAACATGGCATGATTGGGGATCACATGATGGAGGATGATAATTACTATCCAAAGATTTTGCCTTTTGTTTTTGCTGCCTAGACTAGACTCCCACCAGGCCACCACCACCCCATTTTTTCAGGAACTTCTTTTGGGGATTATCAATTAATGATGAACACATGCCATTCCTGGGTCATCTGCCATTATAAGTACAGTAAAACAGGTAATTAACAAATACGACATTTTACAGGTGCATTTTTCAAGTATAAGTTTGCAAGATTAGATCTTTACTTATTTGGAATATATGTTGGACAAATGTACTGTTTCCTTTAGATAGGTATACAAGTGCATTGTTAATTACTAGTAGCAATGTGTTAATTAACAGATAATATACATGTGCATACATACTTGCCAGGGAGATGAAGATAATCATGTGATCGAGAAAAGACTCGGCGCGAGATGGGTTTTAGCTATATACCATCACCTTTCGTTACAAAATAATAATTGTTGAGAAGCAATCTTTGGTTACGTTTTATTTACAACTACAATCAATGAATTCAAAATATATAACCATATCAATGTAAAATAAAACATACAACAAGACTTATATCTAATGTGTTAGAGCCGTTTTTAGTAGTAAAGCAACAAATTATTTGTAGATTGATGTTATTTATAATCAGTTTGGTAATATATACGTCGAACTTCGACGAAAAATAAGTGAATTCAACTTGTTTCAAATGGAGCAAAATTTTACAATAAAGATAACAAAAGGACGACATAATTAGCTATCAACGCAACATGCGGCCACGATCGAATCAAGATACGCGAGTGCATCAACGTGGTTCTGAACTCGTCCACAGGTGATCAAAACAGGCGGAGTCACTTTCATACTTTTCCCGGGAAAATCTCCAGCTCTATGCAAAAGAAGTTCATCTGAAATTGAACAACCCCCTTTCTCTGAAACCCTAATTTGACCCTGCCACGCCAAGTCCATTCCTTCCCAAGAATTAACCCTTCGCCCACAATCCCCCATTTTCCGTTTTTTTAGATGTTCGCCATTTCGAGCGTGACGGCTCTGTTTCCCTCCTCTCTCATCCTCTCAATTATCCTTCCAATGGCGCCTGGCGCCCTTCTTCTCTGCAGCGAGCCCCCAGATCAACCCGATCTTTCCAATTATCCCGCTGTTCTTTGTTGCCCAATTCTCCATCTCGCAGAGCCAGAGTGCATCTTGGTTTAGATACCGGAACTTCCGCCCGGCTGCTGCAGGCGATTCGACGCCATACCCTTCTGGAGAAATCAACGTCATATTGGGTCCAACGTTCGCCGGCAAGACCATCACTCTCTCCACCGGGCGCGGTCAGTCCGAAAGCGAAAATGGCTGGTCAGATCCACTGCTCCTTTCACCTAATTAACCTTCGCCGTAACCTTCCTTTGGTGTTTCCTTGCCGTTGGTATGTTTTGATTGTTAAATGAGGTTATGGAATTTTAGTGCATTCAGGAGGCTATGTTGTTCTATTGAGAGTTAGGTTCTTTGAAATTTGTGTTATTTTCGTGATCTATTCGGAGCCCAGTTTTAAAAAAGTGGAAGTTACCAGCTTTCAGGTTGAAATTTGCTCCCACAATTCCTTTGTTTCTCGGAGATATTGGATGAAGCTGTTAGGCTCCTCATAGTCTGTAAGAATGCATTCTCACCAGTCTGTAAATGGTGGGCGAGAAGAACCCATTCACAGACTGAATATCTTCCCACTGATAAGTATCTTGAGACCAAGCTCTTGATCCTCTATGCAAAATCCGGAGACCCAAAACCTCTGTCTGATCCATTGGAACTCCCTCAGGCGATGTGCAGAACAAGCTCGAACAAATGGACCTCAACGGCTGGACTCCTGACCGATACACGTTTGCTTCATGTTTAGAACCTGCAGTACTCTAGCTCCGTTGGAGCTCGGGAAGCAAGCTAACGGCATCATGATCGACTGCAATGTTAAAGACAACTTGGCTGTCATTTGTGCGTTTACTGAACTAGTAGATGGACTTCTCTGATCTTGGGGGTATGGCTGGCTGGCGTGGAGGAGTTGGAAGAAGGTTTGGAATTGTGTCGGCCAAATTATGCCACTTTCCTTGCTGTGTTATCTGCTTGTATAGTAAATCCAGGAGTGATCAATCAAGATTCAGATCAGATCGATAAACGGTTATGGGATATGGGGATTAAGCCGAGAGGAAAGCACTCTTTCTACCCTCTTGGGTCAAGCCGGCGGACTTGGAGAAGCTTATCGACCATCTTTCAACTTGGCTACTTTGACATGGATTTTGCAGCCAAACTTGACTCCAGAAACGGAGACGCCGAAGAATCAACTTAGCAAGCTTCTGGTCCGTCATTTCCGAAGCATCTGGAAAGCGATAAGCCTTTTCGAGATAATGCATGACGTGGAACGGGAGCTAATATCAATCTCGTGGGGTGAAAGGTGAACCGAATTCTTCGTTCTAGCCGCTGTAGTTGGATTCTCTCCGCGTGGATTTTGTATAGGGCATAAGGCCAACGTTGCCACGTTGGGCTTGGGCTGAGGCTTGGTTCAGCTTGATGTCGTAATTGGAGACACACAAATTTTGGGCTCTGTACAGCCCAAAATCAAAGATCAGTCATAGTTCTCTCTCACTCCTTGCGTTTCACTAACGTGTGAAAGGATAACGGTGGATAAAATAGTTCGGTTGCCACTTAAGTTTGAGAATTGGTATAGACATACCATTTAAGTTTGAATAGGGCGTCGGGTATCACTGAACTCTATTATATATGCACCCAGTACCACTTAAGTTTACAGCTAAGTGCATTCCGATAAAATTGACAAAATATTCTTGGAATATTCCGTTTTCTAAATTTCATAATTGGTCCTTCTACTTTTCTTATTGTAAAAAAAAAAAATTGGACTTATAAAAAACATCATTTTTATTGTTTAGTTAGAATCCTCTTTTGAATATTTGAGACTAAACGAAATTTTGAAAATTTAGAATCAATTATCATTATAATTATTTTGAATTATTATTATGTGTTCTAATAATTGAATTATTACATGAATGTTGTAAGTTGTAACTAAACAATGTTATAGCTTTTATAGTCATATTTTCTTTTTTACATTCGAATGTTGTAGCTTTTATATTTTATTTATTACTTGATTATTTTCCATCTATTTTCTCTCTAAATTTTTTCAAATAGTGGAATATGTTAAATTCTTTCTGATTGTGTTCCATTTATCATTCTTTGATTTTTATGTATTGATGATCGATTAGGTTCTATTTTAACTATTTCTAATGGTACTTCTAAATGAATTAGGGGGTTTAAATTGATATTCTAATATTTATTATAATATTCTAGTATATTTATTATTCTTCTTGATATTTGTTTATTATTTTTACTAATTTATCTATATTATTGAAAAATTTTGATTAGTCATTCTAGTAATAATATGTTTAGAAGTTTTTCTAATTATTATATTAGATAAAATTTGTTGAACTATAGTTTTGGATGTTTTTTAAAGTTTTGGGTACGAAAAAAGTAATAAAAAGTTTGGATTGGATGGAAAAGTAGACGGATGTACATTCTGGCGACATTAATGGTACCCGACGCCCTATTCAAATTTAAGTGGTGTGTCTATCCCAATTCTCAAATTTAAGTGGCATCCGAGATATTTTACCCGGATAATTGTCACGGGAAGTTACGTTGCTGAAAGCACTTCATGATCCATGCCACCTCTCTGTATCTAGAATGGAATCTCAGTATCTGACCATCACCTTCGTATTCCACGTAGACCTGTCAAATTACAACCCGATCCGTTAACCCGATCCGAAACCGCCCGAAAACTATAAATTTTTGTAACCCGAAATCCGAATGACCCGAACCCGATAACCCGTGATTTTTTGGGTCGGGTTGGGTGGGTTAGCGGGTCGACCTGTTAGACCCGTTCCATTTAATATATTACTCACAAAATATGATAAAATCACTCATAAATTGGTGAGATGTTTTAAAAAAATTACAAGGATTTGAATGACATGTTTGGAGTTTAAGGATAATCAAATATCATGTGTTTCTTGTAGAAGTATTACTCTTGTGATTGTTTTTTGACGATTTGCGCAATTTATATTTCATTTAATTAGCGTGAGGGGATTTGAGAATATGCTGATTGACATGTGTTAGGTAAACTATTGTCATGCATATGTGAAAATTTGTGTTCTTTAAGAAAATATGAAGCATGTTTGATATTGTTTCTGAGAACGCTCATAACCCGAAATGACCTGTAACCCAACCCGAAACCGAATGGATTTGGTCGATATTTGACTCGAAATAAGCCAACCAAATATGACCCGACCCGTAACCGAAGTTTTCAACCCGAAATTACCCAACCCAACCCGATTGCCAGGTCTAATTCCACGGCTAGCTAATTATCCATTGCGAGCCATGACACTAACAATGGAGGACTGGATCTATATGAAAAGTCAGAGGTAACTGTTGGGGGAATGAGCATGGGCCAGCCCAGAAGGGTAAAGCCCAAGATGGGTTACAAGGGACCGGGGGCACGGGCCCAACCAAGGGGACAGAGAAAGCCCATGAAGGCAGGGACATTGGGCTGAAGGGCGTCCAGACTTGACCTGGGCGGCCGAAGACAGCATGAGGGACAGGTGGGACCAGGTCCCTGGCGAAGGGCGCGTGAGACAAAGGCAAACAACGGTCGGAAGTGTACGAAAAGCTGAACAGATGATGTCACGCACCTTCGATCTCTGACCAGCGTGTCAGATGGTCGAGGCGCATGAGCCAGGGGAGTACGATGCATTTATGGCGGGTCTGACACAGGGCGAGAGCGACGTGTACCGGTCGATCTCGCCCCGGGTATAAATAGTCGAGTAGGTAAACCTCATTTACTCAGTTTTCGCTTCTCTTACTAGAATCGTTCCATTACTTCTCTCTCTAAAAAGTAGGTTCTGACTTGGGCGTTGGAGTGCTAACGGACCAACCCGGTCCGCAAGGCGCTTGTGTGAGTGCAGGAAGGCGGCCGCGCGGGGATCGAGGGCATCCGGGGCGTGAAGCACGTGAGGGAGGTTACCAGGCATAAACAATTGGCGCGCCAGGTAGGGGAATATAACCATCGGGCGCATGGAGACTGCGGGATTAGGAGAGAAGGACGGAAGGTCTGAGCCTCATGAACAGGGGACGGAGGTGACGAAAGAAGCGGAAGAGCATGGGGGGAAAAGGAGCCCGAGAGCTAACGACAGCGTGCAAGCAGAAGGCGCCGCGCTCACCAATTAGGAATTGCTTCAGATTATCGAGAGCCAAGATCACGCGCTCGAAATTTTGAAGAAGGAGGTTGAGGCGCTCAAGAGGAGCGGAGGCGACCCACACACGCCTGGGTCGAAGAGAAAGGAGCGGGACGAAGAAGGAGACGGAGCGTCCAGCCTCGGGAAGCGCACAGAGGAGATGGGGCACTTGACCCGACACTTGGAATCAGATTATGACGACTACAATGGATGGGCACAGAGGCGTGCAGGGAGAGGCTGGGGAGTTCGACAGCCCTTGGCCAGGAGCGTCCTCGCCGAGGCGCCGAGCTCCGTCATACCAGCGCTACCAAGCTACGACGGTACGACTGACCCGGAAGACCACCTGAACAATTACTTCACGAAAATGCAACTGTACAGCAGTTCGGACGCCACGATGTGTCGTGCGTTCCTTTCCACGTTCACGGGGGTGGTGTTGGACTGGTACCACCAGCTGGAGGAAGGACGGATCGACTGTTTCGAGCACTTTGCCTCCTTGTTTCTGTCAAAGTTCGCTAGTCGGAAGCGCAGGACCCTCACGATCAGCGCCTTGTTCAAGGTCCGTCAGAGGGAAAACGAGCCACTTCGCGATTTTTACGAACGATGGATGTCGGTAGCCATGGCAGTGAAGGACGTCAAGCCGCCAGTCTGAGGATGCTGCCTGGATGAGTGCACGACTAGTGAAGAGTTGTGCCGGACGCTTTCCAAAAGAGACGTAACGTCCACGGAGGACCTTGATAGGAGGGTGCAGAAGGTCATTATGCTGGAGGAGACGCTTGCAGCTAGGAGGTTTGACAGGCGCAAGAACAAAACTGAAGAAGGAGAAGGGTACAGACAGCCGACGCCCCGTGCGTCGATGATGGCACCTAACGCGCCGTTCCCAGGGTGTAGGGTGGAGAACCAAAGGCCCGTTCCGAAGAGTGCGGGGAATTTCACCGAGCTAAATGACACGCTGAAAAACGTGTTGCAGTATGTGAAGGACAAGGGATACCACCTGAGGTGGCCTGGTCCCATGAGAGGGCGCCCGAATGAACAGAATCTCGACAGGTATTGCGAGTTCCATAGGGAGCGGGGACATCACACCGCAGATTGCTATCAGCTGAAGTCCGAGATACAGGGGCTGGTAGACAGGGGCATGCTGAGCGACTTTGTGAAGAAGGATGATCGAACGCAGAGGACGTTCGTAGCGCAGGAGGCTCAGGTGAAGGCGCCTGACGAAGAGCCGAAGGCGGCAATCAACCAATCCAGGGGAGGAGAGAAGGCGCCTGAAAGCAAACCACAAGAAGCTGTTCTCCCCCCACCACCATTCAACGTAGAGCAGGAGGCAAACCCAAATCGTGTGAGATTGACAATTGAGGCTATCACGGGCTCCATAGACTTGAGGCAGAAGCTGGAGGAGGGAAGGCGCCTGAAGTCGGCCACCGCCAGTGCGCGCGAGGCCATCCCGATACGCTTCAATGAGGTACCGGAGGAGGCGTGTCGAACGCCTTCCACGGAGGCGCTGGAGATCAGGGGAGTGGTGGCTGGATGTGAGGTCAAAAGGATGTTGGTCGACACCGGGAGCTCTATGGACGTGCTATTTCTGTCCACGTTTGAGAAGATGCAGTTGGCACCTAGCATGGTGATGCCAGCGGATACGGTGCTCTTAGGATTCACGGGGGCACCTGCTCAAGTTATTGGACGCGTGCGACTTCCCGTGACCTTGGGCGACGAGGCACTTTGTGTCACACATACGGTGGATTTTGGCATCGTCGACTGTCCCTCGCCGTACAATGCTATCTTGGGGCGCCCTTTGCTGGCGCTCTTTAACGGCGTGGCCTCCTCTTGCCACCAAATCCTGAAGTTCGTCACCTTGGAAGGCATCGGAATTTCAAGGGGTGAGGCCTCCGCGGAGGCACGTCTCGCCAAGAGGAGCCGGATGTATAACATTGACACAAGGCCCGAAGACCTGCCAAGGGCTGAAGCGGCTGATGAAGAGATACATGTACCGTTGGACGACCTGCCCCCTGACAGATGCGTTCGCGTTTCGACACACACGACGGGTGAAGATTGGGTCCGCTAGTTGGACTTTTGAGGGAATTCGCAGACTTGTTCGCATGGAGCGCGAAAGAAATGCCCGGAGTAAAGGCGGAGGTTGCGGAACATCGACTGGCCATAGCAAAGGGCGTGCGCCCCATTCAACAGAAAAGGCGCCCGATCTCACTGGAGAAGGAAGAGGCGCTGAGAAAGGAAGTGGGGAAGTTGCAGGAAGCAGGGTTTGTGGAGGAGGCCAAATACATCACTTGCCTGTCCAACGTGGTGCTAGTGCCCAAGGCGTCGGGGGAATGGAGGATGTGCGTAGATTACACCAGCCTAAACCGAGTGTGCCCCTCGGACGCATACCCCATGCCCAGAATTGATCAATTGGTAGACGCGACGGCATACCACGAGGCACTCAGTTTCCTGGATATGTTCTCGGGCTACCATCAAATACCCATGTGTAAGGAAGACAGGGACAAGACAACTTTCATGACCCCGTTCGGTAACTTCCGCTACAGAGTGATGTCATTTGGGTTGAGGAATGCGGGGGCCACGTACCAACGTATGGTGAACAAAGTTTTTCAGCATCAGATCGGGCGGAATGTGGAGGCATATGTGGACGACTTGGTGGTGAAAAGCAAGAGAAGAGGGGATCATTTGGCGGATTTGCGGGAGACGTTTCAAGCGCTCCGCGCCCACGACCTGCGCCTCAATCCCCTGAAGTGCGTGTTCGGGGCGGAGGCCGGAAAGTTCTTGGG